GGAAAGCAGCCAGTGATTTTGGACCAGTGAAATGACTCTAGAAGACACAGCCATGAGGAGCACACAGCCCTCTCAATGTTTGTATGCAATGAAGAAAACACAGATGTGACCTTTGTCAGCACTCAGTGCACTCATTAGTGTGTCAGAGATAATAACTCTTACACACAAAAATCTGACCTACATATGCTACAAAAGTGGAAAAGGCAACAATTTACTTAAGTCTCTATTATACTGTTAATGATTATAAGCTGAAAAACTAGACCATAATGCAGGAAACTTGTAATTAAAAAGCATCAATTATCATTTTCTCCTTGCAGGGGACATTAGTCAGGTTAGCTTTCCACGGTCCCCTTGGGAATACAGACAGACATGTAGGGCTGTGTGATTCATTCTGGAACAGCCAGAAAGGAAGCAACTCAGTGGGAAAAGATCAGCTTCAATTAAAAAAAAAAAAAAAGAAAAAAAAAAAAGGAAGAGGAAATGATACTTAAAGACACCACTTTCAGGGTTTCTTGTTTGACAAAGCACAGGTGTGTGTCAGGCTGTTTCTAACCCGCCCTTACCTCCCTCCAGCCATGACTAAACTGGATTTCCGCAGTGTACACAATGTTCTGAGGCTCCAGGGCTGAGCCAGCTAATACCTTCAGTCATGCTGAACATACCATCCTTCTGCAGAGATCAACTGGTCCCCAAGCTCCCGGGGAGGAACATGAATCTCTCTCCAGAAGCTGCAAATTTCCCCTCTCTGCTGCCTGAAGTTCCCCAGCTCCCGGCCAGGGTGGACAGATTATCTGGAGGCTGTTTCAGCCTCAGCATTCACAGGTGGAACCAGTTTTTCAACAGTGCCAATGTGTGCCCTAAGCCCATTCAGAGTGGTTCTTGCAGCCCTGAGGAAGTGCCTAGAAAATGTGATCCATCACTTTGTGTGCAAGGACTGCATTCAGACATCCTTGGCTTTCTGTGTTTCCAGCTCTACTGTGGATCACACTGCAGAATCACAGCTCACCTCCAGCCACCCCTGAGCTTCTGCCTCCTAACAGCTACTGCAGCTCTCAGCATTCCTAGTAAGAATGCTCTTTAAAACTCCTGTTCCTTTAATCAGCACGAAGTTGAAACAAAAATATTTTAAAAACTCAAAACAGTAATAAAATGAAACCTAAGCTCTGCATTATGGGAGACTGTGAGATTTTTATCATGCTTTACATAATTTAAAATTATTCAAAAGCAATCTATATTTCCTATTGACAATCTCATGTTAATTTAATAACCTATGTGGCTGTAATTTTCATTAATTGACTTACACCCTGACCACATCTTAATAGACTTGACAATTTTTTCTCCTCTTACACTTTCACAGCCTATTATCAAAGAGATGCCAAGTTCACCCCTTCCAGTAATACCATGATTCAGCCCACTTAAGACAAAGCTCTCATCTTTGTCCCATCTTTGTCAACTTCTCTGTCTCCTCTGCTCCTGGGACAGACCAGCAGCCCTCTTTATCACTGCCTTGGGAGCACTTCTCCCCACACAAGGCAGAGTTTCCCAGCTGGTTGGTGCTTGAACCACTCCAGAAGGTCCCACTATGCTGGGAGGGTGGTGAGAGCCCCAGGGAGCTCAGGAGTTTGGCTCAGGTTAATTCTGTGAGGACTGCACTCACTCAGGGTTCTGAGCAACACAAGTTCTCAGGAAAGACTCTTCTGCCCTTGTAGTGCTGTCTCATTGATTTGCAAAGTGAAATTGTGTCAGTCACAGTGGAGACTTGGCTCTGCATGTAGTTAAAATATAAATAAACAAGGCATGCAGAGGATTTAAAGCCAAGATGACAGTGCTTTGTGGAAACAGGTGATTTCAGCAGTCACAGCTCCTCTGCAAGCACTCAGCAGGGCTTGGATTATACCATCTGAATAACAGTGCAATAGGATATTTTCTTTTGAAGCACACATTCCCAGGCTGGTGCATCACACAGGTGCCTTAGTGCCTTAGGACCCCACATCCCCATCCAGGACTGACACACTGGGAGCAGCAGAAACCTGGGTCAGTGGTGCCATTACCTGCAACTGGGCTTTTTGTTAACATAGATATTTTCTGCTTCTCCTAGTGGTCACCTGACAATGATAAACACAGGAAAGTTTGGGACAAGCCACCTCCATAGTGCTGATTCTGTCAAGCACATTCCCCAGAGCAGTACCAACACCATGAAGTGTGAAGCTGTTAAGGTGACTGGACTGATGGGTTGTTTCTTCCAAACCTTCCACAGTCTGGAGGATTTCTCTCTACCAGCCCTGCTCATTCCCCTCTGTCCCTCCTTTCATCTTCTTTCAATTTTCGTTCTTCACTGTAATGAACCTTCATGCCAAGATCTCCTTTTATCTCCTGAGTAAAACATTAAAACAAAAAGACAACTACAGAAAAATCAGGACAGTAACCAGAGGACAATGAGTGACACTGGTCATTTCTGGTTTTCGTTCAGTGAAAAAATTGTTATATTTTTTATCATTGCCCCAAAGGAGACCCTGATTTCATCTCCCACTCTTACACTTTCAGGATTTCACAAAAATACATTGCTAATCTATTCATTTCAGAGGCAGAATCCTTCTTTACTACGACTAACAGTTTAGTTGTGCAATTTCTCCTCAAACAATACCTGTTGGATCTGAATTCCTCTTAACCACAGGAATGTGGTCCAAACAGTGTGAGGTCCATTTCTAACAATCACCACTAGAGCTACACACAGACCAGATCCAGGCTGATGGGGGCAGAGCCTGAGAGCCTTTGCAGTCACAGCCTTGCCCTTTTGCTGCTCAGTCTTTCATTTCATTTCATTTCTTTCATGCTGCTGTTCTGTCCTCCAACTTTGCAGTGACACCCTCCCCGAGGAAACTGATTTCTTTTGCTATTACATTTAAAATTTAACTACAGTGATTATTTCCTGCAATAGTGAGAATTTTTTCAGCCTTCCCACTCAGCATGTTTGTGGCTGGTGAGAAAATAAATTACCTATATAAATATAAATGCTTACTTTTAGCTGAAACCTCCCATGCAAGCCACATTCTCATGACTGCTCAACTCTCTAATGGGAGCACTTGTGATTTACAGTGGAACATTTCATAGCATGAAGGCAATAAGCCCCACTTTTTGTGATTCCTTAGAATTAATTGCTTATTACCTCCCAAATAACTGCAGAAGTGATGTTTATTCTGCTTTCACCTATTCAGAAAGGCCTTGAAATTCTAAACAACAAAATGTGCCAGCATTTTAAATCTGCATTGATACTTTATTGCATTCAGTTTGATTTCTAGTTTAATTGGTGGTTTTGTTTTTTTTTCCATTTGATAAATCTATTTTTCTCAAACTTCGTTTCTTTTCCCTGTGCCAGCCCTCTCCTTGCATGAGATGGGCTGTATTCAGTTTGACAGTGCCATCTCCTCTGCCCCCAAAACCTGGGGCTCAAGACAGCTCAGTGACGAGCACAAAGAGCTTGAACCAAGCTCACAAAGCAGCAGGTGGAACACCTCAGAAAAATAAATAATACTGAGGCTTATCAGGAACTGCTCAAAGCAGTGCCCCAGCATTCACAAACAATTCACTGTCCTACAGGAGAGAGGAAGAAGCCACGGTGGGCAGGTTTACACTGCATTTAGGACTGCTTTTTTAGGAGTGGCGGAGGCCGGGAAGAGACGGGCGGAGCAACAAAAAATTTCCCCGGCTCCATTTTATCGTTCGACGGGAGTCGGGCCCCTGCAGTGCCCCCGCAGCCCAGCAGGGGTCAGCCCGGCTCCGGCCGCGGCTCCGGGACCCCGCGGGCGGCCCCGGCCCCGCCCGGCCCCGCGGAGCCGCCGCGGGCCGCGCATGGAGCTCGCGTTAGGTTCGCGTTACACTGGGGAACTCGGGTTAAACCGGGGAACTCCCGGTACACCGGGGAACTCCCGTTACACCGGGGAACTCGCAGTGCCGCTTGGCTGCGAATGGAAAATGAAAGTAACCGTGGAGCGGAGGAGAGGACTCGATTCAGGCATTTCTGTGTCACCTCTAAAGCCTCTGCTCTGCAATAGGAAAAATATTCTGAAGTTACCCACACCTGGGGGTGGGTAAGGTTCCTCCCGAACAAGCCGAGTGGAAGCTGGATGTGGAGGAACTCCTCGGGCAGGGAATGGCACAAGGGACCTGGGCATGTGCCATCCTTTTACTCTGCTCAAAAAGTAAATATTTACCAACACACCTCATTTTCTATTTGCTGAGCTCAACTTGGTGACAACACAGAAATCTCTTTTTTGTTGTTGTTGTTTCAATAATGTGTTGAGTTCCAATCTGAGCTTTGGTTGGTAACAGATTCAAGACTTACTTCCCAAATATTTCCAATGGGATCATGAGGCTTGTTTGGCACATGCTCATATCAGGACTCCTTGTGTAGTTGTTTGCTCATGGGCCCATTTACCTCCTCTTTGCTGGCCATGTCTGCTGATTATTGTCCCACACTCTGAAATACTTTTGTTATCTGCAAGACAAAACAGAAGAGCTCAAAGCAGTGCACTCTGAGAAATGGACAGTTCACACGTTTCAGTAGGGTAAACAACTTGTATTAGATATCTAAATCCAAAATAATTTAGGTTTATTCCAGGCAAGAGACAAGCTGAAAGCAAGCAGCAAATTCTCCCACTGATGTTCCATCATGCCCAGATGATATTCTGAAGCTTTCCAAACCCCAGTGTTTTCCAAAGTTTTGCCAAAGACTGGGAAGGGTTTGTGGAAGAACTTTTACCTTTGTAATTTAGTAAAAGACTTGTGTGAATACAAGCACTTCCCCCACTCAGTTCTTAGAGCAATTTAGTGTATTTACCTGCTGTTACATGGGTTCCTGACTCCAGATATAAGAACCTGGAATCTGTGGCAGAGAGGGCATCTTCCAAATGCCAATCCATACGATGGATCTGTGGCTCATCATGAATAAAAAACTTCACAGGCATTCAATTGCAATTGAATGTGCAAGATCCAGTCCAAAGTTCAATTCAGAGTTTTCTTTATTAAAATACCTTTTCACATTTCTTATACTAACGCATTTGCATGGACACTCATGGGATGCTGAAAGAACATTTGTCAACAGAAGAGAGCTATGAAGTCAGTTGTGATAGGCTCATGATACAAACACAGGGAAAAATAAATTGCACAATGTGCACAAATTTGCACAGGGAACAATAAATTAGAGATATTAATCAGTATTTTTTTCAGCTTGAAATTTTAAACATTTGGAATGGAGGATATAAACCCCTTTTGTGTTTCTTGCTGGTTTTGCACCTTTGATGCAACGCTTAAAGCAGTAACGATATAAATATATACAAACCCATGGCCTCTTTTTCACTATTTTGTAATTAAAATGAGAACCTTCTTACCTGTAACTCAGATGTTGTAGGAATTTAATTTGAAGTAAGAAAAAAAGAGCAACTGCAATGTCAAAACACAGCTGGTTAAGGGGTTGGGGACAGTATTTTTGCTCTTTTGATTTGTGTTCTTTTTTTAAACTAATGCAGCCAACATAAACATGGGCTGCAGGATTAGATCTGTGTCCAAACTAGATCCATGTTAGTGGTTTATCATTCTATAGAGAAAAAGGATGGGTATGGAATTCCATACTGGAGAAACTGGGCACAAGTACAACTTCAGATCTCTCCTAAAATCAAAGGAATAAGGATTGTACATAACAGGATTTTCAGGTACAAACTCACAGACCTGGGTGTGTTATATCCACTCAATGAAGACTTTTCATAGAATCAGCCAAAATAACTGTGATGGACAATCATTTCTTGAAGAACCATCACATCAAATTTACCAACAAGCATCAGAACTTTTAATGGGGACAAGCAATTTAGCTAAGAATAAAGACTGTGCCTCTGATAGAAACACTTGGTAAAGTCTGAATCTCTGACAGTTATTCAAGTTTTTAGGGAGCCTGGAGCTCACTCTTCCCTCAGGCCCTCCCTGCAGTGTCACATCCCCGTGAGCTATAACTGAGCTGGCTCCAAGCCTGGTAGCAGTCCAGCTGCTGCAGCACAGGGAGCTCAGCACAAGCTGCAAGATCATGTCAAGGTACATGCCTGGCTGGCCAGGCTGTGCTGAGCTCTGTTCTGCCACAGTGGTGGCACTGATAACCAGCTTTGTGAGTTTAAAGCAAGCTTAGCTATTTCAATGTCCTACTGTTATCACAGTAGTTGCTGCATTGTAGAAATGTACTTCCTCAGCTGTAGCTCCCCCTTTGTTTCCTTAGAGCATGATGAATTGGAGGCAAAAAAGGCACAATTGCATTAGCAGGAGAAATTACAGATGAGAACCTGGGTCAGTGGTTTCTAGAGCCACTTTCCTATGAGAATTTTATTCCTAATTTTTTTCCATTAAATGCTTTGGGAACATCTCTATTGTTCCTCCTAAGGAAATAAACTTTGAAAAGACGAGTCTGGCAAACTCATAAATAACTGCTGCAAAGCCTTTGAAATACTTCAACATCTTCTATCTTGGCTTGTTTTCTTCTCCCAGATGATCTTTGAGGTGACTCTTCTAGGTAGCATCAGGATGCCCATATATTCTCTGCTGGCAAAAAGAGCAAAAAGAGCAAAAGAGAAAAAAAAAAGGTGTGAGTATAACTGTGCCTCTACCTTCTGTCCTGCAACATAATCCTTTAGAACCCTCCACAGTGAGCTAATAAATACTCACTGTTCTCTGGGGAGATGTTGGTATTATCTTCATAAGAGAATGAAAGAAATAAGACAGTGGGAGATTTAGAGTAACAATTGTAAGCTAGACCCCAAAACTCTTAATCACCAACATCTGTGAGTGCTTGCTGATAAAAGTTGGATTTTTAAGGGAACTGCTGGCACTTAACACACCTGGAAGTCAGATCCCTTATTTATTAGGAGATAGTCAGCTGCCACAGTCAGACCCCATGATCAGTCCAAGGAGAAAGAAAAACTTTTCCTAAGGGCTGGTATCTCACAGGGAGCAATGCAGCATCCGGCTGCTGGACACTGTGTTCCTGCAAGAACCGTGCCAGGGGTTATCTGCAGCACCCAGCAGGGGCAGAATCCTGGCACTGGCAAGCACAGAGGGCAGACAGAGCCATCCTCTACACCAGCCAATGGGAATGGGCACAGAGAGAGCCCCAACTTCATTGTTTTTACATTATATGACAGAAATAATTCTGCCCACTGGGGATTCACAACTGTCAAGTCTTTCCTGACACTGGCTGCCAAAGTAAGTCTCCCTCCAAAAAGTTTCTGCTCAGGGTACATGGTGGCCTCTAACCTAACAGTTCAGTCTGTCAGCACTGAGGCGCCTAATTCCTTTTGTGGACCTACCCCCAAAGGATTTGCCCCATGAGTCAGAGGAATTCCTGGTTTATAATTCAGTGTTTATTTCAGAGTATCACCTTGTTTTCCATATCCTGACTGTCTGAAATTCCCCCCCCCCCAGTTTTAACTGGACACATCCTTCATCTTCCTTTCCTGTCTGAAACTATTGTGCCATGTTACTGTGCACAATTAAACACAGGTCCCCTTCGGAGTTGGCAATGTGAATTCCTTTAACACTGAGAAAATACTTTTGGGAACACTTGAGTAAGAGGAGAAAGTAGCTGAATAACACCTAGAAATTCCTCCAGAGAGATGTAAATTGTACAGGTTTCTGTCTCAGAGGGCACATGGTTGGACAAATAGGCAGCTAAAAGTACACAATGTCTTCATGTACTGCCAGTCCTCCTGAACCTCTAGGACAGAACCAAACAAACAAATACACAAACATGTCTAGGAGGCAGAAGGAGAGGAGGAGATATGAAGTCAGAACGTACTGCTGAGGTAAATTTGACACAATACCAATTAGTGTTTGGCGAAGTGGCTATCTCATTGTCAAGATATTTCCTTCAATATGTTTTCAGAAACTGGGACCATTAAATAACTTAGAAAGATTGCCAGCTCTGATTTCAGGAAGGAAACCTCCTCCCAGTTCCTCTTTAAGTAATTCATTTCTTTTGCAAATACTTCCTATGGATTGCCTTTAAGATACAAATTTCTGTAACAGAGGAGATGGAGGGAAGCAATCCCTGACATAAAACTTCAAGTTCCTTTCTAAATGACCTAAAAATCCAAGACATTCAGGTTCAAGGTACTCTGGACTGCAAATCAGTCACAAAGTGTACTGCAGCTGAGCCTTCATATAGTTCAAGTAATTCAAAGTTTGACTGATTATTTTTCTAATCCACCATCTTTCTTCACATAATACACTTTCAATGCACCTGTGTCAGTACAAAGTGTTTACTAGAAACCTTAACTCAATTTTGTGATGGTCTCTCAGTGAAGAAGAAGCCAAGTTCCTAAATTTCCCTGCTGGATTATATTTATTTTGACAGAAACTATGTAGGGGCAAATGCACAAAAGCAGGAGTAGCAACCAGTAAAATGATTGCTACATCTTCCTTCTCCACAGTGCAGTTTTCTGTTCTGTCTGTGACATCTGGAAGTGCAATGCAGAATTTAATGTTAACAGACTTTGTCTGAGCAATGGAATGCACATTATTGGAATTTAGGGAGTTAAAAGGACTTCAGGATCTGATGAGTCTCCACCACCATTACTGAAATAAAAAGGCTGTGTATCCTCCCTGAAAACAAAGCCCTTAGCAAAATACTGCTCTCTGCAGTGGTCCTTTGTCTCACACTTCTGGAACACCTATTACTTCCTAAACAGAGTCAAATTCTACAAGTTTTTTGACAGGCCACTCCAGCTAAGTGATCCACCTGGTATTCCCTGGGATTCAGATGCCAGCTGACCAGCCAGGCTCCTGGTCCCCTTCCACTCACAAATAAGGGAGCAGGAGATCAAACACAACTTCACCTCTGAGCCAAATGCTTAATTTCGCTATCAAGAAGGAGAACAGCTGGAGAGGAAGTTTAAGCCACTTGATCACTTTATAAGGAGCATTTTCCTTTTCACGAGTGGGATCAACACCTCCTCATTTGGACCAAACCTCTGAGATACATCACAGTTAAGCACGTGTGAAAATGAGCTACTGAAAAAAAAAAAACCAGTTGCAAGGAAATAATGATAAAAAGCACCTTAGTAGCTCCCTGCCTCTTCTGTGCTCATCTGTGTGGCTTTTAAAGTGTTGAGAAGCAAATAGAAGGAATGGAAAATCTATAAAGAAACTCATCTGTCCAGTCCAATTTTAGGTCACTTATTTAGAGAGTTCAAAAGAGGGATGGTGCTGCTTTTTGTCACAGGCTTTATAGGGAAGGGAAGTGGGAATTTAAGAAGCAGAAGACAAGGCTTTTTTCTTTTGCTAAAGTACCAATAACCAAAGAAAGGCAACAGTTACCATGTTAATACATGAACAGTCTTCTAAGGAGGGGACAATGTCTCAGACATGCACTGAATAAGGCAATTTCTAGGAAAATCAAGGAGGATGTGCAAGTGTTATAAAACTGACTTTGCTCTGGGGTGTTTCTGAAAATGAGATTAGTTTTACAGAATAAGTACTTTTATTACCCTCCTACTGCTAGAGAGTAATAAAAGAAACAAAAAGAAAACACTGCCCTCAGCTGACACTTTTCTTCCTTGAATCTGACATTACTTCATAGATTGTCTGGTTTGTCTATTAAAACAAGCTTTAATAGCCCAATTAATTATGAAAGTGGTTCACACAGGGTGGTCAGTTTATTTTCACTGACTTTTTATTATACTTCTGTGGAGAGATATTTTACTCAATTTTTGACCATAGGAAAAGAAAAAAACCACCTTCAGGTCCATTAGAAATTATGAAGGCTGTGAAAAAAAGAAGACAAAACCACCTCCCTGAGCTTACGCCTCATGTCTGTCACAGCCATGCTTGACCATTTTTTCATTTGTGTTGGACAGGGACAAACTTTCTTCTGCATGACTCTCCAAGGAATGCCTGGTATAACCCAGGGGAGGGTTCAGCTCAACATATTTTTAGAAAACTGAGAGCAAAGAATAAAAACAAATCTTTAAACTAAGAGAGAGACAATGACACTATAAACCCTCCTGGCCTGTGTTAATATGAGTCTGTTTATTGTAACACAATCTGTGACCTTTAGTGCACTGCCAGTGTCTGTAAATAATACAATGGGCTGCCTGTGTATCCCATGGGGATGGGAGTGCTGATGGAGCCTTTCAAAACTCAAATGGATGCCATAAGCTGACGTAGACTGTGCTATTGTGATTCTTATTTATGAGTCTCTCCTTTTTTTCTTTTTAAGTACAAGCTCCAAAGTCACAGAGTGGGTGGCAGAAAAAACAACCGTCTGCATAGTCTGAGTTGGATTTGATAGCGTACCTAACATTCATAAAAGTACTCTTGAAATGTGAGTTCTGAGTTCTCTCCTGAGAGCAGAGTAACAGCTCATTCAACATATTTCTTCTATTTAAAAAAATTCCATATCTTGTCACTGGATTCTTAGCACTATCAAGCTGTTCACCACCTACAGAACCTTCACAAAACTTCACATTTTTTAGCTGAGATCCTCCATATATGGATGGTATTATTCCCACTTCTTGGTTAGAACAGCATAGCTGTGACCCAGCTATGACCCAGCTTTGTACTCTGCAATAAAAACTATTTGCTTTCAAACTTTCTTACAAGGTCTCAGTTTACTGCCAGCCCTTGGAATCATCCCACCTGCTCTACAAGTGGATGAAAACAAACCCAGGAGGAAACAGCCACAGACAGTGAATAGAAGGGACTTCTGCAAGTTGGGCTGATCACCATCCCTGCTTGGTTCAGCCGCTCACACCTTAGGAAGGAGCTCACCTCTCTTGGCATTCCAGTCACAGGGTGTATGTGAACAGGCACATCCCAAGCACATTCACTGGCACTGCACAGCCTGGGGACTGGCAGATAGGACTGGAACAGCAGCTCTGTCCCCAGTGATGCATTGACCAGGAGAGCAGTTTTCATGTGCAAATCTCCTGTGCCTCACCTTGTGCCATCCTGCCAGCGTTTGTGGCACAGACCCAAAGCTGTGCACGTGCTCAACACAAACTCCTGGAAGATCTGTGCACCAGCTCCACCAAACTCCAGCCCCTGCCAAAGACTCCTAAAACTGACCATTCTATAAACAGAAGACTGAAAGCCTGATTCATAAAAATAAAAACAAAGGGATTGCCCCATATCTGTCCTGCAAAGGTCCTGAGCAACAAATAAACCACATCAATACTTGAACATCATCTCAGCAGATGCACAATCATCTCAACCCATGTCACTATATTTAATTGCTTGCATAAAATACTTACAGAGTTCCTGTTTTCCATAGAATCTGCAAAATAAAATACAATGTATAAATTATGAATTGGCACCTTGCAGAGTGACCAGTTTTATGTTCCAGAAAATACAGGTGTAGGTACTTCAACCTTTTTGTTCACTTTGCAATGATGTAGAATTCCTACCTACATCTAAGGTTAAAGCTCTGGGCTTTAAGGAGTATCCAAGTTCTAGTTTAATCCAAGTACAGGGGTGAGACATTTCAAAGCCCTTCATTGAACAGGACCTGTTTGGCAGCTTTCCTCATCATGTGCTAGAGCAGAAGTCTCTCCTGAGGGCACAATCTGTTACTGGGCAAGAGAGTCTTCCTTTTAGAGGCAAGTTCTCATCAGCATTTTACTTCCTAATCCAATTCCTTGCCAGGAAAATAATGTATTGCAGAAATCCAGTAGAAGATACAGTTTTCAGGGCAAAAATAACATCTTGCAAAGACACCTGACATTTTATTAATAAAAATATGCTTGTTCCCAATGAAAAACCTGAGGGCCAGCAAGGGTCAGTGGACCTTAAGATTGGATCATAGGCTTTTTACCAAAAAAGTGGATTTAGCTATTCAGAAATTTCACAGAATATGCTCAAATATCAAAACATAAATATTTATTTTCACTTTCAAAGTAACTCCAGTTTTAGGAGAGAACTTCAAGTCTTGTTACAAGTATTCATCTGTATGTTCTGTTGAGATATTTCACATATAACAAAAGTAAGTGCTGAATCTTGAAGGGCATTTTCTTGGAAAGTGTTATCAGATTTCTCAAAGAGAGACTGTGTGAAGGGAATTCATATAATGTTCAAAACAAAGGGGTTGAACTGAGCCTCTAAGTTAATCTTCCCAGTATTTTTTATATAAATGCAGGTTAGTTTCTGAATCTATGTTTTTTCCAATTATATATTTTTTAAATAGCAAATTTAAAAATTGGTCTTCCATAGGCAGAACACATGTAAATGTTGAAAAGTTCCCTGAAATCACTAAATGAAGGACGTTATGCAGAGTACTGCTACCATTATTAGACCCTAATAAAAATCTTTGAGAAGATTTTTGTCAGCCAGCAGAAGTAACAAAGAAACTGAACACAGGTGAAGGTCTCTGGCACAGTACATTTAGAGTTTTCTACCCAGAAATTCTAGGCTAAGCCAAGGACTAAAAACTGAGGTGACTACAGCACCTTATAGCAGTGCATGAACTCAATTTCAGTATAAAATTGATCTCGGTGTTTGGCAAGATCGATACACATATGTTTAGACATTAGGAAACAAAATAAGAAGTTACATGGAACACACTCAAAAGCATTTTTGTGTCCTGGAAGCCAACAGAATTGAACAAAACCACTGCTGACCCAGTGCTACATCAAAGCTTGGCTTTAAGTGGACAAAACCATACATAAAGTTTATGAAGCGAGGCATTAACAAGCTGTCGTTTAGTCTCTGTCACAATGTATTGTTCTCACAGGAAGGAGGAAATGAGAAATTTTGTATAAATTCCAGACTTCAAACAACGGGATGTTGGCTACCCAAAGCTTGGAGGTCACAGTGACAGCAATCCTGCCTCCTTGTTACCTGTCACCCACATCCAGAGCACCGGGGCTCTCCGAGTGTCACAGCTCTGCCAGGAAATGTCACACTCTGTGTCCAGGGAAGTGCTGCTGGAAGCCTGGGTGATTTCTACCAGGTACCACTCAGGGCAGCCAGCAGGTAGCCACCAATAAAGGCAGAGTGACACAGTGCTCTCGCTGGTTCTTTACTATGTCAAACTTTTCACAATCTTTTCATTTCTTATTTGTTTAAAAAAAAAAGAAAAAAAGAGGTGGTTTTAATTTTTTACTAGTTTTACTGTAGAACTGAGAGATTTTTCATAACACCAGGTCTTCCCTTCCTGCCAAAAATGGGGAATTGTGAAATGCTGGGTTCTAGACACGCAGAAAAATTGGTCAAGCTTCTATAGAAGCTCCATGTTTTGTGAAAGGAATCAGAGCTGAAGGTCTGATACTGGTGATTTCTAAAACATTCCCAAGTCTAAAAAAGGTAGGTGGTTTTATGGACTTCTGATAGATCTAAACTCTTGCTAGTACTTCTAGTTAAAGGGATTTTAAATTCAAAGAACGTATTTTTACAAAGGAGTACATATAGCAGGAATTTAAGACACTGTCACCCCACACCTGCTCTACCATTTCTTGTTGCTATGTTCTTGTTATGGAGAGGAGAATATGTGCCTAAACAGCTGCAATTGTCAATCCACCTCCAAGTCACCTCCAGCCCTGGTGAAAGCCAAGATGTCAGACTGTGAACCAAAGGTGCTGAGCTGCAGACACACACAGCGTTCTGCCAAGGCCTTTACTGGAGCAGTAGCTTCCATCAGGGGATCTTGGCAGGCAGCTTGGGAACAGCTCTGACACGGGGCATGCATGTAATCCAGCTCTGCTTTGGAGGTTCAAGCAAGGTCAGAAGCTCCCTGCATATTTGTGCCTTACTGAAACCATCTGGCTTTGCCTGATTTTTGGCTGAAGACACTGTAAGCATTTGGCTCCGGAATCAACGTCTCACAGGTCCAGGACTTAGTCTAGAAACCTAAAGATCCAAAAAGGTTTTATCCTTTTTGGAGAGAGAGGACAAGTTATTTGCATGGGTTTGGACTGCCTGCAACTATCATGTGCTCATAATACCTGAGTTCTGAACAACAAAATGAATCCCCAGACCCTATGAGTTCTTTCTGTGCTGGAAAAGGATTCAGTGGGAAATTCTGGCTAAGATGAAGGTGTTAAGCCTGAGGCTCAGTAGCAGGAAAGTATTTGAGCAGATTTCCTGATTGCTAGAGCTGATTTCAAATAGATTTGTTCCAAACCTCTGAATGCAATGGGGATTTCTCATGCCTCTTTCCACTGGGATATATTTATTTTTCCATAGTACATTGTTGGTTGCTGTAGGACTCTTAGAATTTCCTGTCTCAGTGCTGCAATTGCTTCCAAGTGACCAATTCATTTTTCCAGACTTAGCAGCATAAAGGCTGGCTCTGCATTTTATTTGCTGGATTTCCACTTTCCTAATAAGAAATTGAGAATTGTTATCTTAAAATAAGCCAAAATGAGCTCAGTCCAGGGCATACAATATCAGTGCAAAGCCTATCACTGGTTTCTGTGAGCTCTGGGTTTGACACACAGTGAAGACAGAGTTCACTGAAGGAGCAAGAATGTACCAATAACATCATCTTCCACAGGAAGTGTCCTGGAAAAACGTGAGGAAATCTGTGAGCTGGAATTGGCTCTAATTCTTCTCAGCAACACGAACAGGACTGTGCTACCCCAAGAATTGCGATCAATGTTGAGGGAAGGGCTGGAACTGAGATAAAGAACCAGCATGGAGATGCTTGGGCTTCCTTCCCCTGCTGCCTCTTGGGAAGATGAAAGGTGTGATGGAAATAAATCATGCCTGAAAGAGCCTCCACCCAGGCAGCTGAACTAGTGTGTGACACATCCTGACCCTCCCTGAGGAAAAGCTGCCAGCCTGGGCTGCTGGACTCCAGCACAGGCAAGGGAGGCAGCAGGGCCACAGCCATTTTATCATTCCTGGCTGTCGCTTGATTTAGACAATTGCCTGTTTTGCTTACATTTTGGTATAGTCCAAAGTCACCTCTTTCTGAAGGAAAATCAGCAGCTTTGGGACTAGGCTGGATATTCCTGACTCACAATATGCTTTGGCCTTTTCACAGAGCAGCCAGAGAAAGCAGGATTTTAAGGAAATTCTTTCATCCTGGTAAGCCTGAAGGACTTTTGCACAAAGGTGTTACTGATCTGAATGGCACTAACTGCGACCATTCCCCAAACTGCCATTTGGATGTAAGGTCTGATTTAAAGTTGAGGCTTGAAGTTTTTGGTATTTTATGTAAAATACTAAAGTAACAGCCCATTGCTCTAGAAAAGGCTTCAAAACAATACCCGGGTGATTATCCTGAACACCAAATATGTTTCTGAATTAAACTAATCTTTCAAAAACAATGCAAGGACAACTTCTTATCTCACATTTGCTTGCAGAGACAAAGTGAGCAGAATCCTCCTTAAACTCTCATTACAGCAGAGTAAATCCAGCATCCAACCAACCAGAGACTGACATTATTTGACTTTCAATCAAAACATACCTGACTAGAATGGAATTTCACAAATTACCTGCTTTTCCCACTGCAGATGAGTTAACTGTAGTTAACCACATGTAGGTCTTCTGGGATTTGAAATGTGTATTTGACAGTTTGTTTCTGTCCATCTCTAACGTAAAACCACCTCCTGAGTCCTGGCACTCAGAATGAGAAAACAGCACAGCAGGGAGGATGGGGAGCCTTATCCACAGTATGGTGGAGGCACTCAAATGGTAGAAGCAGGAGATAATATAACCAGCACCAGGAAAATAAAAAGAAAAGGAATAATGACAGATGCTCAGTATACTGCCAACAGCCTGGGGCTTGGGAAAGCTCAGAGCATTATTGGCACTATGGATTAATGGGGCAGATTTTGGGTATGAACAAGCAACAGCTATAGAACTCAAAATACAGAAGTTGGTTACTGCTATGGCATCTGCCTTACTGGGGACATCAGTGAGAGTTGTCAGAAAAATGAAGGGGAAAAATGTTCTAGCTCAGTCACAAAGAATTGCATCAGATGTAACAACTATTGACTGTTCTTCAGCTTCCTCTCTAGTGCACAGAATTTCTGGAATGCACAGACAACCACATAATAAGACAAAATTGCTTATGAAGCACTCAATTCTAATTAAACCAAAATAGTTACCTACCAACAAATAATAATAAAATGTTACATAGGTCTTACGGGTCAAATCTGTCAAACTGTGTAGCTGACATCAATCCTAAACTCACGTGATTTCCATAAGCACACGTTTGTCTGAATCACTGCCTTCCTGAAGTAGGTTGGACTCCTGGGCTTTTGCTCAAAAATATCAAAGAATAGAATGGTAAATCAACTGCACCCACTAGCCACGTTCAACATCTTTCACAATTGGTATCATTTAATATATTAATATATATTAAAGTAGAGGAAATATTTCATAGGGATCCTCCACTTCATTTACAATTTGCCACCTCACAATCACACAGCCTATCAAAAATCCAAGGTAGTGTTACATGAACTGTAACATAGTACTGCATCGCTGGGTGATGCACTGCTTATCTATTTGAAACACTTTTCCTGTGTATCAGTCAGGAAAAACAGACGTGATTGAAACAATAAGCTGGTACTGTGTTTCCAAGAATAACTGAAACTGTAGAATGTTATACATAAAAGAGCAGGTGGACAGCAAGATTAAGGGGTGTTTGCACATCCTCTGGTTAATTCACTTCAGTCTTTCAGTCATATCCCATTTTACTGCAATTCCCACCTTATTTTAAGTGCTCTTTGAGTTTCAGCTCTGCTGTACCAACCTGGAGTTTACATCCTTCTGGTGCATAACATTCTGTTGTGCCAAAACCAGGGCTGGTGAGTGGTGTGATAGTCACCCTCTGGGCAGAGCAGGTGAGGGTTATACAGCAGCTTCTGCAGCTTTTTATAGGTCCAGTTCACACTCACTGGAGAACATTTCAGAACATTTGTGGCCTTGGGGCTCAGCCCTAAAATAAACAAGGTATTTTCTCTTGGTGGTCCTGCATGAAGTGCTTGGCCATGCTCTTAAGTGTGAAAGATACTCTGATTTTCACTACAAGGCTGTGAAAAATAAGTACAACACACAGGCACAGCACCAAGGATTCCAAAATTCCTTTGCCACTGCTGTCACTCTCTAAACACTTTGCCTTAAATGGATGACCTAATCTCTCTGATTATTCAGCTGTAAAATGGAGATAAAAATTGCCATGTAAGCCCTAACAAGGGAAAATTAAGTAATGTTTTCTAAAGTACGTGGAGACCCTCACATAAATGATTCCCCAGAGACAGAATATTGTGTCAGAGGTGGGAAATGCCTTATAGAAAAAATAGAAAATTAAAGCACAACAGCCAAAAATTAAAAATGGCACACAACAAAGCCTGAATGGGGACAAAATGTGAACAGTTTGCAGCCCTAATATTTACAAATCTAGACTTCCTTACACAAAGAGAGGAGAGGAAATCCTTTCCGATTTAGGCTTTGACATACTATGATGAAATAACCTTCTTTTAACATGCTGTCTCTGAACTCATTAGTGCCAGAACATTTATAGACAGTAATTGCAAGGAAGCTGCTACTGCCCACACACAGGTCTGTGTTAGAGAAGCTGCTGAAATGATCATATTGCTTTAAAGGCTTTTAGAGTCTGTTGTTGGAGGCTTTATAGATATTTGCTGGAGTTACACCCAAAGCAAATGGAATATTTTATAGCATGTGACAAACATGCTCAATTAAGAGACAAATGTTTCTCTTGAGCAGTTTGAGATAGCAGGACATAGAATCCTGATCCCTAATGGGGATCTAGATTCAGATCCAGATGTATGGCCCAAATGTTCAGCAGATCCAGCACAAATGGGCTGATGAAGTAGATGTTACAAATATTAACATCACTGATTGATAAGAAACCATGAATATGTCATACAATTTATCAGCTTCAGTGATTTTGTAGCTGCACGTTGGTATCTTCCTATGCTATGTGACCTGCAGCTCTTGTTTATTATGGCACTTACCTTCTAAATATTCAGACTAAATATCTTATAAAATATTCAGTCACAAATTTATCCCTAACCTCTACACACATTTCCTTAAAGTGTTTAATTTTTCACTAGCTTACTTACCATTATTAGTTTTTCTGATTTCACTATAAACTGTTTCAGTCCCCTTCTGTTCAGGAGCTGGAAAATGTATTGGCACAGAATCAATTTCATTTCTTTTTATTTTCTTTTTTTCTTTTTTTGTGTGTTGGTTGGTTGGTTTTTTGTCTGCCTTATGAAAAGCTCTTTAAACAAACAGAGCACACTTCTTTACTTTCAGAAGAAGCAGCTACATAAACAATAATGAGCCTGTGGAGTCTGTGTGAAAAAGCAAATACAAGCCCCTCCCCAAACCCAGCCTTTAAAGGTCTTGAGAGAAGGATGTCACCTTCTGTACAAAAATGCTGATGAAAATCTGCTTTCCTTTTTAATTTGACTTCTTTTAGTTAAACTGAGTCTCCCAGAAAACCTCAGAATTCTACCAGCGTCACCTCCAATTTCTGTGGACATTCAAACAAACTAAGAAGTTAAATTTTTCTAGTTAAATAAAAAAAAAGTAATTGTTGTTTCCTCTTTGAAAAAAGAAAAAAAAAGGAAATAAATTCACATTTCAGGATACAGAATCCTGTGCTTTAGCTATTAGAAACCCCCAACATTTAAAGAATTCAGACATAATGATTTGCAGACTCAGAGTCAAGACTGTTACTGTTCTGCATTGCCCTGAAGAATCCAAGTGTCTCTGGCTCCACATTCTGATTTCTCAAAGTTAATTTCGTATTTTTTTTTTTTAATTCTCTTCAGCCTCCTTTAAATGCTGTGAGCTAATACATCAGAAGGGAGTTGCAAAACTTCTACGAATTTAAACAATAGCAGCTACACTTCCCCAAGTGTCTAACCACAGCTTTCAAACTTGCAGCTTTGCCATGAACTTTTTGCAAAATAATTTGAAGATCTCAAGGCATATTTCAAATGCTTACCAAATACTACTTAAATGATCTATTCAGTTTCCAATGAAGTAAGAATTAATCTTCTTGGAATTTTAATAAGAGGATTTTGTTTAGGACTGTTTTTTAGCAGGTTCCAGTCCTAAATCTACTCCTATTGACTCTGTGCTAGGACTTGGTTTGAGGCATTTCCTTAGTTTGCTTTTTTATTTTTTTATCATACCCATTTCATTATATTGTGATAAAATGCCACTGCCCATGTTATTTCCTTTGTCAATCTTCCAAAAGTCGTTTTAGCACTGAAAAAATGTGCCAGAAGAAATTACTTGGATGATTTGACATTTTGTTCCCACTAATTTTATAATGTTGCCACCCTGCAGATAACTAACCAGATATAAAAGTAAAATAAAGAAAACATTCTTACTCAGTCCCTCAGTTTCTGCCTGTCACCTAGGAATATTTCTTGATCTGACTTTAGACACTGCCTTTGGTTTTGTTGAGATTCACAATGAAGGGTCTAAATCACCTTCCCATCTTTTTTCTCAACTAAGCTTTTGAAAAGACAAGCACTATGTTTCTGTCAAGCATACAAACTTGGTAAGTATTGAATTTAATAATCCCAGAAAGAAGTATTCCAGAAAGGACCAGATAGCTCAGACATGACTTGAAGAACAGGGTAAAACAGTGTATTCAAACGTTAGAATTTTTTACTGATAAAGACAAGATGTTCATCCTTCTACAATAATTTCAACTTGTTTTGAAGTGACATTCAATCAATCCCAATTCCCAGAAGTGACATAAAGGCAACTGCTACAGCTTAGATACTGCAGCATTTATTGCAGTAGCCTTTCACAGTACACAAAATATGATTCTCCCACTCCTGAGAACATTAGTATTGACACTGACAACAGTGGCAGGAGGAACAAATGATTGGAAAGATAAATTAAATAAAGGTTAGGTGAGAGATCAAAGAAATCTGCAGTTCCTCAAAAGGCAGAATCAGACTATGTGTAGCTGCTGGATGAGCAATATGTGCCCAAAGAAAAGGTAAATGTGATTTGCTTTCTCTTCATTCAGAAAACAGGAGGAATCAAAAGAGGCATAAAAGGGATTTGGAGCAAGATGATTATCTGAAAATTCTGTTCCCTAGGAAGGGCTGATCATAACCACAGACAGACATGAAGGAATATTTTGACTGGAAACAAAAGCTTACAACAACACCAACGTAGCAGAAGTATCAGTAGCAGACTGTGGCCAAATTCTCTCTCTGGGTGTACATGATTATTACAAGGGAATATTAAGGAACTTGGCTTTGCTTCTCTTTTCCCAAGAATAAATCTCATCCTGTTTTCATTGTGATAGGCAGTGTAGAACTCAAGAAATAACCTAGTTTCATAGAACTCCTTCTATTTAAGCAGCATCCTCAGGATGCTCTCAGAGAGGAACACATTAAATACTTTCTGTGCAGTTTCCATTTCCATAACCAAAGCACTCCACTGTGTCCTGAGGCAACAAAGGAAATCAATCAGGGAACTGTTCATATCTGTATACTCCAGCACAACTCTGTCTTACAGAACCTATCAGTGTTCTGTGTGCCATGCATAGGTCTGTAGCATGAGGCAGCACTCAATTAAAATAATCTGATCTCATTTACACACTACAGTAAACATTATTCTGTGGTTTAATGGGGTTCTGTCTACAGAGTATAGATACTATCTTATTACTTAATGTGATATACACTAATAGTGTTATATATCAAGAATGGATGAAAATGCTGTTTTTACAGATGTTAATATTTAATTTAATAGGGCTTTTAATTTAAATAATACACTATCATATTTTACTATTCTAGACCATTGTTCAATGGTGTGCACACTACCACTGTAGAACTGTAGTGCACACTCAGAAACAGTTGGAAAAATTATTAGCCCTGTTCTGAAGAAGAGTACAACTCTGGTCCTTCAGTGCAGAATTTAGCAGAGGTGGGTAAATAGCCTGCTTAAAACACAGGGAAGACTCTGTGATGAATGATATCAGGAAGTAAAAACAGAAAGGAGAGGAGGACTGGCTGTTCCGGGAGGGCTTGGCTGCTAAGCTTGAAGAGTGAGCACCCTTGCTCAAATATCTGTGCTATCAGCTAAACAATCATGTCTTTGGTCTCTTAAATAAGTGACTAGTCCTTCCTACCAGGAAGAAGGAAATTTATCCATTTCTTCCTCAGTCTGCTTCTCATTCAGCTGAAGCGAAGAAGCAAGAGCAGAGCATAAACTTCTCTTGCAGGGTTTATTCACTCTCAGCTACTTGGAGCTTTTTAGAAATTTCTGAAAGGTTTAACAGCTTTCAACACAAGGCCATAATGGCATCAGAGTTCTCCAGATAATACAGAATGATTGAAGTGGGCATTTGGGTGGTGAATAAATTTCCACGGATATTTCTCCTTCTCCTTCACACTCTGGGGTCTGGTTACTGCAGGGAGGAGGACAAAGTTATCTGGGCATCAATATCCTCATTTCTTTGTTTAAGGTACTACAAAATCCAGCATGGTCCCCAGGCCTCTCCAGATTAAGAGACTAAATCAACACTGGTCTCTCTTCTCTATCAAAAGTGAATTACTGTTTTGACCCTTCAACCAGTTACTTTACAAAGGAGGAAATTCCACTGGTTTCTGTTCTCTCCATTATCTTACCCTGTGGCAACCTCAAGTGGCTCTTTGTGAATTTGGTCTCTTTAACATGGATATTTCACAGCAGGCTGCCTTCTGCTTAGAGCCACACCTCCAGATGGGAGCCTTGCTCCACACAGTCCTCCTGTAAATGGGAATGATTCCAGGGGAAGAACAGCAAGAAGAGCAGCACAGGAGCCATAGCATCAGCCAGGTTTAGGAGCACTCCTGGCAGGAGACTGTCAGCATACAAAGCACAACCCTGCCATTCCCAGGCACCAATACCAGGCCAGCATCAGGGAGCAACAAAAGCCCCAGAGTTGCTCCCAAACATAAACCATAGAGGCTGGACAGTTTATTACCTCTGTGAGGATCAAGCGTGGAGACTTCAACTTCAGTGTAATCCACCTCAGCACTCTCAAGGTCAGGTCCTGCCCCAAAAATATCAAGAAGATGTTTCTTTGTAGGACTGCAAGCTTCATTTGAGCTGTGGGCCTGATCCTGCTGCCACTGAAATTAATGGACAAGTCCCAAAGGACTTTGACAGGTGCAGGACCAGGCCCTACTGATGGCAGGTGGGAGTCACTCTAAGTTGTAAGGCCAGCCCATTCCTGAGGGTCATCCTACTCTGAAGGGCAGAATACCAACTAAAGGCAGATTTCTGAAACTGTGGGACATGCAAATTGTGCCTAAAACTGTTAGTTGCAACATAACACCTTCAAAAATGGGACAACACAGAATAGGGAATTACCAGAGCTTCTCCCATATTCCTGCTCCAGCTGCCCTTCCCTTTCTCTCCCTGCCATTACCTTCCTGTTTTCTGTGGCTGCTATGGCAGGACACTTCCCATTCTGCACTTTCCTCACATTTCAAGCCATCTTTATGTCTTTCATGGCCTCCCTCATCACCTCTCATTCTCCAAATTTCGGCTTTGTCAATTAGCCAGTTTCAGCACTTTCCTCCTAAGCTGCCTCCATGCCCCCATGAAATATTTGGAATGGAACTTATCTTCCTCCTCAAAATGCTTCACTGCCACAATACCCACAGAAAGCCTGGCAATGATCAGACATCTGACTTACTAAGATCACTGGCTGACAGATACTGGCTACCTGGGTACAACAGACACAAGAAACAGCTGTTTCTCTCTACTCTGTTTTTCTTAGGGTGGGGATGGTTTTCTACCACATTTCTGTGAAAGCTGGAAGGAGCCACAACAGTCATTCAGACTGAAATTCTGCAGAACTGATTTGGCCAATTACTTTATTTGGATTTCATAGTAGGTTATTTTTAGATTTAATTCTTAAATATTTCAAGATCCAGAGAAGTGAAGAAAGGACAGAGAAGTAAAAGAAGCAGAAATCTGTAGAAAATCTTGTTTTTTAAACAAATCTGAATATTTGTTATATAGAATTTAATATTTTGAGTATAAGTTGTATTTTTATACCACCTATCATTAGATGGCCTGGGATCCAGCACAGCTGATTACAGTCCATAATGCAATTGATAAAAGGGTCCTATCAATGTCTTTTTGGACATGGGAAGAAAGGCATGACCCTATCATCACTACCTCACCATTAGAAAACATCAAGACTTTCAATTATAAAATAATTTTTAATATCTATTGTTTAAGTATGGAATTACCTTTACTCTCATCTGTTGATTTCATGTGGTTTTCATTATCTTCAATGTAACCTGATCCTAAAATATGAAAGCCAAAGTTGAGCTGACAAATTTTTTATTGTAATCAATGAAATAAATAAGTTTCACAGCTGCAATTCCTATTTTCATTATCTGTATTTCTATATAACACATTCTACTTTTAGATTCCCACCTAACACATTCAGGTGGGAAGAATGTGACTTTAAATTATTAGCTAACAAACCCAAAAGGGGCAACTTTGTCTATGTCAGGTACTCTAAACATCATGTCCACCTGTCATTGTCAAGTGCACTGAGATCCTGCAATGAAAGATGCCCAGGCAAGTTAACATCTTTATACTGTGGCCACATTACAGGACCATGTGCCACAGCTCAAATTTCCTCTCTGAAATAACTTTCTTGCAGCTGTGTCAAAAGCAGAAAGTAATTTTCTTTTACCATGATTTCTCCATCTGTGATACTGTCAATTGATTGCCTGGGAGAAGTGTCTGAGCAGATTTATAAACCAATCTGTGTAAGACGTGTTCATAAAAACTGTACAAAGACAAAATGACAGAAGATACCTTGGACAATGTTATTGGTATCCCTCTGTATTCCCAAAACACTGGGCACAATCCAAACAATAACTACGAAGTCCAAAACTTTAAGTAAATGTTTAATTAAACCAACTTACTGACAGTCTTATAGCAAAATATCTTACCTGAATAGTAGTTTCCATCACTGGGCTGTCTTGTTAGTTTTTCACTTGTCAAGTTTGGAGCCAAGGCAGAACTGAAAAACAAACCAATAAAATTTGATGTAATTACCCAACACCAGTCAATAAAACCAACAAAATGATTCTGTCACTGTCTATGCTGACTGCCACATATTCTTTAACACTGAAATAATTAAAATTTTGCCTTTGCTTTAGGAGAAGCACTAGGAAACTTTAAAGTCAAAAATTTTCCCTATTGCATTATTCTTCTTTAAGACCTCTGTATTTTCAATTTTATTCCATATTTAAATGCATTCAAATACAGACTTGACGTTCTTGTATTTCACTTAGCTGGCCCTTTTTGCTATTTTTAGAGTATTTCCTCATCCTGTTGTTGTGCTGGCAGGTGGTATACAAAGCACAACCATCTATTGTCTGCACGTGTGTGCTGTAACAAGCTATATAAGTGAAGCAAGGCTTACAACCCTTTATACACAGAAATATTGCACTACTATCATAAAGCAGGTGTTGTGGTTTAACCCAACAAGCAGCTAAATATCACACAGCTACTTGCTCACACCCCTTCCCTGCCATGAAGGGATGGGGAGGAGGACTGGGAAAAGATAAACCCCACGGATTCAGATAAGAACAGTTTAATAATTCAAATAAAGTTAATAATAGCAATGAAAAGGGGAGAAAGAGAGAGATAAACCCCAAGGAAAACAAGGGATGCCCTGAGCAGCGATCAGCACCTCCCACAGTCCCAGATTCGGCGCGGTTTTGCCACCAGGGCTGTGCTGTGATAGCGACCAGCACCTGCTTTATTCAGCCTTCAATAACTCCACAACAGAAGGGTCTTCCAAGAGGTGGGACCAGGCAGCTGCTTCATTTCGTCCATCTCCAAGGCTGCTGTACTGAAAGCCCACCAGGATTCTTCTGGGTCCTTGAAGTACCTGCTCCTGAGATAGTCTACACCAATGGAACCTCTGGGGCAGTCCCACTGGGGGATTCTGCCACACATTGGCTTATGCCACACATTCCCAGTCAGGTTGATTTCAGCTCCAGCTGTCAGCTCTTGGAATCCCCCCTCCAGAAGCACAGGTGGTGCTCTGCCCCTTCACAGCCTGATTACGTCAGGGTACGCTGTGCACCCGTATCTGCTACAGCCTTATACTCCTGGGGGGCTGACGTTATGGGCCACGTGATGCACAGAGTCCTGTGAACAAAGCTGTCCCTCTCTTCCATATGGCTGCAGGCACAGCCCCTCTAGTCTTGCTCACAGGTTTATTCAACTCACTTCTTGTGAAAATGGAGTAGAATTCCTTTCCATAGGATCAGGAGTAAGATCAGCCCTTCCACTCTGTCTGAGGAACTGCCCACTGCAGACCACAGTGGCAACTTATCTGGAAGAACCCCCTCTTGTGATTATTTTTCTTTGTAATTCATGTAAGGCTGAGGTGGAATTTCCATCCCTTTCCTCATGTTGTCTCTGTAGGCCTGCAGAAAAAACCAGGGTCTCCCCTGGTATGTACCCTCAATATCTTCACTTGACCAATCAACACTTTCTGCTACCAGCTGAGATTCTGAGCCATGCATGTGGGGAGTAGAATTCACCTCCTCTTTGAGTTTCTCAACCAGTTTCTCCACAGCAGGGACAAGGGAGGAAGAGATTTTTCTGTGTATTACTAGAGTTGGAGGGCCACTGCCTCCACCATTGGTGCCTCTTTGCGTCTCCAGACAACACTGCCAGTGAGATGGTGTACAACGATGGTGCACTCTGGTGTACACGTTTCTGATACATGGTTTGTGCACATTAGACTTCAGCTGGATCTGTGAGTGACTGTGTGTTGTTTGGGTCACAATAAATTATCTACCCCTAAGCATGACTAATTTCCTCCTGTCCTGTACTGGATACCTCTCTCCATTATGGTTCACTTGCCTGAGCGAAACAGAACATCTTCCTTGAAGAAATATTTTTCCTTGACAAGAGCTGCCTCCAGAGGCTGAGGTCTTCTGTTACTCTTCCAATCACCTTGTCAATTCACCCTTTTCTAGAAAATGATCACAGCTGCTTGGCTTCCCTACCCTCTAATTCCACACCACCAGCCCCATTATCCCAGCATTAGAGCAGCCAGGTGATAATGTGCTCACCTGGATGATGGCTGAAATCCTTTTACATATCCTGTAGCTCACTCAGGGATAGGGATCAAGTGACTCTTGTTCTGCCTCTTCCTTCTGCTCCTGTTATGACTTTGCTTTGTTCTTCTTTAATAAACAAGCAATCTTTCCAGTGCATTTCTCTTCCCTTCTTGAGGGGCAACTGCTACAGACAGGGGCTGGTCCTCTGGTTGAGCTGCACTACCAACCCCTGGGTAATTAATCACAGCACTTGCTGCCAGAATTTGAGTAGCCACTGTGCCTGTCACTGGAGTTTGAGTGCCCACTGTGCCTGTTGTGGGGGTTGGAGTAGCTGCAAATAATTTTTTGACCCTAAACAAGAGCTGAACCATGTTCAGCCACTTGCTGGTTCCTACCAATAGGACCATGCTGATTCCAACATCCCAAGTGTATTCAAAATTTTCCTAATTCTCAAATGCTCTGGTAATTAGGCTGGAGAAGAAAGGGAGGCTGTGGGAAGTTGTCTCTCCTCCATAGGCTGGTTGTCCGAGGAATCGGGTAAAAGGTGTAATTGTGAATAATTCCCAACAGGTGTCTCCCCACACACAGGTGATGGCAGCGCTGAGTCCCGACCAGGTGAGTTAAAACAACACCCTTAGTTCTGCCCCGAAGGCAACAAACACAATAGGGAGCAGTGCAAGCAGGGTGTTGGAGAACACAGCTCTGAGAGCAAACAAATCAACACCATGACCAGTGGCTGTTAAATCACAAGGAATGCTTGTAACAAACCTGTTTCAACATGCACTGGTCAGATTTGTTGTTAACTTCGAGTCCTATGTTGGGTGCCATAAAGGGCTGTTGTGGTTTAACCCCAGCTGGTAACTAAGCACCCCCCTTCACCCACCCCACTCCCAGTGGGACAAGGAGAAGGATTAGAAAAAGGTAAAATCCAAGTAAGAACAGTTGAGATAAGAACAGTTTAATGATTGAAATAAAGTAAAATATAATAATAATAGTCATAATAGTAATAATAATAATAGTAATAATAAAAATAATAGAAGGAGAGAGCGAGAGAGGAATAAAACTCAAGAAAAACAAGTGATGCTCAATACAATTGCTCAGCACCTATTGACCGATGCCTAGCCCAGCCCTGAGCTCTGACCAACGCCTCCCAGACAATTCCCCCCCAGTTCCTGTACTGGGAATGACACTCTATGGTGTGGAAGATCCCTCTGACAGTTTGGGTCAACTGTCCTGGCCACAATCCTGCCTGGGTTCTTGTGCCCCTGCTCACTGGCAGAGCATGAGAAGCTGCAAAGTCCTTGACTTTAGTGTAAGCACTACTTAACTAAAACAGCAGTGTTATCAACATTATTCTCACACTAAATGCAAAACACAGCACTGTACCAGCTACTGAGAAGAAAATTAACTCTATCCCAGCCGAAACCCAGACAGGAAGGCACCTTACCCAGACATCTCCATGGATGGTCCTTTAGCTTGACAGAGAAAAACAAAAACATCTATTAATAGGCTGTACAAGTAAAGAATTTGAAGGTAAAAATGAAAAACAAAAATATAGTGATTGTCTATTCCTGTCAGAGTAATTTCTCCTGGCTATCACAAAATCAATTTACATCTTATATCTCATGTCTTATATCCTGACTATCTCCCAGGTCCCTTAAATCTCTTTTTCACAGAGACCCTAGGTCCCAAACCCCAGATTTTAACCTAGCCAATTTAAGCAATCTGGGACATCCAAATGCTCCAAATTTTCCCAAATAATTTTCCATGTACAGCATATCAAAGGATAAATCAGATTTACTTATTTTCTGAAATAACTAGGTCTAATAAAATACCTTAATGATAAAAGACAAATCCCTAAATGAAATTGTATTACAGAGTAGAAGGAAAAAACCTAATCCCATAAACTAATAATCTAAATTTGTTTGATGAGGACTAGAGAAGAATCTGAGTTGGGACCCCAAATCAAATTGTTATAGCTCTATAAGGGATCAGAAACCTCCTCAGGCCCTGTCTACCTCTACATTGCCTGGGGCTGAATTTCAGACCTAGGACTGCATGGGAACAGTGTAATTCTGGCCTATATTTGATAACCTTTGCTTCCCTAGTGCCTGCCCAGTATTAATTATGTTTTGCCCCGTATACTTGGAAAGCTTCAGCACATTTGCAGCCTAATTTGGGTCACCTGGTATTTCTAAGTAGATTCTTTTAATTGTGTTTAGTCATCTCTGAAGCCTCACCCCCACAAGCCTTTGCTGCTGAGAGAAATGCAAGTTTAACTGTAATACATTTATCCCCAAACAAAAGGAAGGGAACCATTCATTACCCTTTTTCTTCTTACGCAAAAACCACCACAAAGCGACTGCTCCTGCTCCTGCCATGGCTGTTAGGACAAATGCAGCAATGACTCCTTTCTGCCACGCTGCTAAGATGACTGCAAATAAGAAAAGCATGTTTAAGAGAGTAGTTACAGTGATAGGTGAACACTACCAAATTCTGCAGCCCCTGACTTTTCATTTTACTTCACATCAACCTTCTTATGCACTGGAGAAGAAGATCTTGGAAGAGACTTGCATGCCAAGTTCTCTAGTGAGCCTCTCCTTTGTGACCAAAAGCTCAGTACATCAACAGTTTGGTTTCAGTTTGCATCTTGCTCCTTTGGCTTCTGGGCATCCCCTAAATTTTCCTATGTAAGCTGGAAAATCTCTGTTTATAAAGACATCTCTCTGTTTAACTTCTGCCAGCGGTGGAACAAAAACCACCAGTAAGGTGGTATTAACCATTCCAATAATGGAGTTATACTTAGGAACATCTCAAATCAGATGTCCTCACCTACAAAGGTGACAGAAAAAGCAGTTTATCATTAATAAGCTTACCACTGATGGTTATTGGACGGCTCCTCACATCCACGCTGGCTCGGTTCGAAGCCATGCAATAGTAAGTCCCTGTGTCCCTCCTCTTCATTGTTTTCTTGTGCCATATGGTTCTGTCTGAATATTCCCTTACTTCATGTAGAAGAACTTCATGATCAGTTTTTTTAAAAAACTTGAAGTCAATTGGCCAAGATCCTTCTTTCACAGAGCAGAGGAAAGCAGTATCACTGCCAACTTCTACTTCTCCATACGGAATACTGCCCAAACTGGCATCCCTGATTGGCACTACAGAGGAAGGCACAAAGAAAACAAATATTAGCACCATTAGAAATAACTTTGATGACAAAATATTGTATTGTAGAAACACTTGCTTTAATGCTTAGTTAAACAGAGACTGAATGCACAGTATTAATCTTTCTGAACAATCTCTGCCAGACAGCATCCTCTAGTAAATATTTTTATACACCCAGAAATAGAGAGGGCATGATGAAGAAACAAAGCAGACACAGGAAGAAATTATATCTATTCCACAGAGGTCAGTCACTTTCCTTAAAATCCTTTGGATGCCCCTCTGGCCCCAACCTACAAATGATTTAATTTCCAGAAATAATACACTCAGCAGTTCCATTGTATAAATAATTATGGTGCAATTTATGTAGTTCTGCTTTCATAGTTACGTTGAGTTATGCTGTTTTATGCTAACTCTGTGGTAAGTGTATTCTTGTAACTTTTAATATACAATAGAGGGTGTCAGGAGATAACGGAACAAGTTCTCCAAAGGAATAAGCAAATCCCAAATTTCAATGGCTACAGAATATAGCAAGCCCAAGGAGAGAAGTTAGTTTGCATTTGAACAAGTTGTAAGGATATACATAGCCAAACCACAATTTATAAGTCAGCTGGTTTACAAATGAAGCATATGAGAATACACAGAACTAGCCTACGAGCAGATGAGCTTCAGCCTTTGTAATTACAAGGGGAGTAAAAGGACATACATTGTGTAATGCAAAACATGTAGAATGTCAGCAGCTTTGCAAAATGTTTGAGATATGAAGAATGTTTTGCTAAAATTCCCAAAGAAAAATTCTCTGGAAATATTTTAAATGTGTTTGGGGAAGAGCTATGGATAACACAAGGCAGATGTAAAGAAGGAGTCATTAAGGCAACACTGGTACAGAAGCGGAGGAAGGAAAGCAGATTTGATATGAAAAGATGCCGGTCATGAAAGCTGTGTTTGTATTAGGAAGCAGATTTAGATATCAGGCATGGGTTACTACGACTGAGCCCCTGACAGAGAGAATTGCCCTGAAAAAGTCCTTTTTGCTCTGGATAAGTCCTTTTCCAGATCTGGTACAGACAGAAAGGACAGAATACAAAGAATTCAAAGTTGCCACCTCACCAGTGGTGGAATGTGGAAGACTGGCTCACCAGGCTCTAAAAAATTACCTTCTCTTCAGAACTTCTAAAAAGTGTCACAATATATCCCAAACTACAGCTCTGATAGCTGGGATAGGCCAGTTCCAACAAAGATATACCCACTTGTTAATGGACTAAGATTATGCTTTGTGTTTGTTTATTTGTACCTTGTTATTTCAAAATACCTTGTCTTTAAATCTCCCTGGATAAAACTCTTCAGAGTTTTATCATTCAGCTTCTCTCTGCTGTTAGTAAAACAGTGGAAGTGATGAATTTAAGGTGAGTACTAAGGTGCTGTAGTCTGGGTGAATGCAAATATTGTATTAAAAGCCTGGTTTGGGAGTTCAGCAAGTGGAGAGTGTGCAATAACCGACTCAGAAAAAATGCAACAATTCTGGATTTATCTATTCTAGTCATACACAACTCAGTGTCAAAACTCAGAAGGAAAACAGCCTATTAACCATAAGTTTATCTTATTAAGACCAACACAGTTTGAGTTTAAACCAGGATGCAAAACAGAAAACTCCTTTGTAGAGAGAAATTACCTCTTCTTTTTCAAAGATCAGAAATTGACTTCTGCTCTGCTCCTGGACTAATGTGCTCTGATAGGCAATTGTTTTAAGTCAAGTGAGCAATAACTTGTAAACATTTCACATCCATTTTGCTTAGTCCACCACTTGCTGCTACAGTTTCGAAACTCTAAATATGGCACTGGACAAGAAGAAGAATTAAACAGACTTACCTATCACTGTGACATTTAGAATGTTGCTAGTTTTCACACCACTGGAGTGATTGTTTCTAGCATCACATTTGTATCCTCCATTGTCATTTAGCCCAATATCTTCATCCAAGAACGTAGCATATGTGTCATTAGTTACATTTTTCTTTATTTCATCCCCTTTGTAGAATGTGAATGTTATCGGTGGTGTTCCCATCACTGAATGACAGATTAATTGTAGAGGCTTCCCTAATACCACCTCTGGTGAGCCACTGACAACAGAAAGAGTTGGCTTGGAGACTGGAGCTAAAAGGTGAATAAAAAAAAAATTGTTGCAAATTACACGGCATAAGGCCAAAAGACACACTATTATTTTGTAGAAAACATGAATATACAATATATAGGTAGTTTGCACACACAGTCTATATTGGGAAGTTGTTCCTCATCGATAGAATGGAAATGGGGGGACTTGAACAAATCGATAGCATAGATAATCGAACATATGTGACTTTGAATAAAGCAGCATACAGGGACAATATGAAGCAAAACAAGGAAAGAATCAGTGACACAGCTGTGGATCATCCAAACTCCAAAAGCAGTTCTGACCCAAGGAAAAAGTCTGCTCCTTGACCTGAGAGGGGTCACCCAGCTCCTCCTTAGGGCCCTGTTCCAGCAGCACAGTGAACAATCCAGCTCATCCCTTTGACAGACTGGAGAACCACTGTGCCTGTTCCATGAGAGGGAAGGGAACTGGAGTATTCAGAGCTGGAGCTGGTGAGGAGGCTGCGTTTATAGCAATGAACCCTTGGCTTTTCAGGAGAGAGCCAAGCAGATGACCTCTAGCTCTCCTGGCTTTCTGCCTGGAGGGTCAGGGCAGGGATTCAAGGCAGACACTGACAGAGCTTCAGATCAAAGTGAAAGTTTTGTAGAACATTCCTGGCTCCTGCAAGTGGTAATGAATGACGGTTTATCTGGTCCCTAGCAGAACCTAGGGACTAGCAGGAAGCCATTCCAACTCTCTTCTCTGAGGGCCAGCCCTGGAAAGTATGACTTGGTTATATCACAATACACTCTGCAGCTAAAGCACATCCCACAGAAATTCATGTTGTAAGAACTAACAGACACCCTGCTAGTTCATGGACTAGAGACTGATTCTGTAAACAGATATCCTTATGTATAAGCTTCTGTTTTAAATCCTCCTCCCACCCTAGTGGTTCTAAGCTTCTGTATCAACTCACCATAAACATTTATCCTTACAGGTTTGCTCTCCTTGACTATTCCTTTTACTTCAGCTTTGCAGGTGTAAAATCCAGTATCATTCACACTAACTTTAATTGGTAAGACTCTAGAATTTTTCAACAGGACATCTCCACTGGGACTTTTCCGTAATATAGAGAAGTTGGCTCTCCGAACGCCATTAATGCTGCAACTCAAAATCAAATCTTTACTTTCATCCAACTTAGTCATAGAAGCAGACAGCGTTGGCCTGGGGAATAATTCTGCAAGATAAAAAGAGAGCTGATTCATTCAAAGGGAGCCTGGAAGAATATGACTGCTTATCTGAAAGTATACAGAATGAAGGACATACTGATAGTTTATAATTTGGGAACAAAACAATTGTGTTATTATATTATTGTACTTGCAGGGAAAACAGAAACTTAGCAATTGCTTGAAACCACTTTTCACAGGTTGTTTGAGCATATTATTTTAGTTGGGAAGTACAGGGGGGCAAAAATCAGAAAGTAAAATCTAATTAGCCTTTAACTTACAGAAAATTTCCACTTGGATCTGGAGGTTACACTTGGACTCTGAGTTCTGCCAAATTTAAATTTAAATATTAATATTTTGAGTAAAATCTAAGATCAACAGAGGCTTTACCTGACACAAAGACATTCAGTTTGGTGGTTTTAGACACCGCTCCTTGCTCCACCTTACACAGGTATTCACCACTGTCCTCTTGAGTAGCTACTGTAGAGTATTTCAAAAATTTCTTATCTCGTACACTGTTCAGTATTGTTCTGTTTTTCTGGAAGATGATTTCAATGTCACGAATTTGAGCTACCACAGTTGAGCATTCAAATTCTATTTGGTCTCCCTCTGTAACATTATTCGAGGGCTTGGTGATCAGAGTGGGCTTTATAAATGGTTCTGCAAGAGAGCACATATAAACATACAAATAGATAGATACACATATAAATTTATGACCCAATTTTTATCTATAGCAAGCAAAGAAATGTAAAAAGAAAAGTTAAGCAACTTACCCTTGACTGTAACAAGTGTTCTGTTGCTGTGTTGTGAGCTTTCCCATCCAGATCTTACTTGTCTCTTGCCAAAGCAATCAAATTGTAAAATATTATCTCCCTCTTCAACATAATATTCCACTTCAGAAAAATTTTGGTTTTGTTCAGGTACACGTTTTTCCTTAGGTGCTGAATTTGTCTTTATCTTCCGGAAAACGAACTCTAAAGGAGGTACTTCTTCTGGCAGCTCACAACGTAATTTCACAACTTCACCCTCTATAACTTCTTTTTTGTCTGCAGTCAGGATTGGCTTGGTCATTCCTTACACCAGAAAACAAGAAAATAAACAGAACATTGCATAATCATGAAATAAAGAGTAGCTCTGATGACTGTGAGAATGATTTATACTGATTAAAAGATTAAAATAGTCTGCAAGAACCAAAAGATGATCTGGTAACTACTCAGTGCTGACAAATTCTTTCCAAGATGCTTTCCAAAGGGGAAAATGTCACCTGCAGTCAAGAACACATCTAGAAAGTGTATGGATGGAGCTGGCCTCTGTTCTTGTAAGAGATGAAAGAACAAGACTGATACAACATTGCCTACAAAAGTGGCCTATGGCTGATGCTGACTTTGGTGATGGCTCTCACACTCTGAGCATCCCTGTACACTACTTCCAGCATTTCCAGGAATCAGCCCAAACCTCGTCACAGTTATTGGGATGGACACAATTTCACAAATAATGCTTCCTCTGGTCTCGGGAACAGAGGCTCAGGAAAGTGGGGACAGTAGTACAGACTGTGTTTCTGACTAGCACCAATCTGTCCTGGAGCCTTGGGGTCCTGAATTCATTTCTGTGCCTTAACATGGGGGATTAGTACCAAAATCTCATCAAGTACTGTGATGTCAAGGATAAAACACATTATTGCAAGATACCCTGTTTAGCACTGATTATTATTCCTTCCCTGTAAGGTTTTTGTCTCTCTGTATCTCATCTGCCATGTCTGACAGAACACTTACCTGCTACCCAAACATAGATGGAGTTACTGAAACCCAGCTTTCCATCTGCTTTCACAGTACATTCATAGTCTCCTGTATCTGAAGATTTGGCTGCAGGTATTTCATACCATGCATCTTCTTTGTCTGATACGGTCATAAACACAAGCTTCCCATCCTTAAAAATTGTAAAATTATGCTTCAGCTGGAAATCAGTATTTTTGCTAATATCAGCATGGCAGCTGATTGACATTGGAGCTCCATTCTTCACTTTGACAGATGGCTGAACCCTGATTTCAACTCTGTTGAAAGTAAAAACTTGATAGAAAATAAAAAAGAAAAAGTTATATTTATTTTAAATTAGTCCAACATAACACAGTTATCTCAAGTTGCTACATTTAAATTACAAAAATTAATTTAAAAATTTACATTTCATTTGATAGGAATATTGTAATTTAAATTGATAAGTGCTTTTAGAAATAAAGTTCACGGTAGTATTTATATAGATATGTCTATATAAATATTCTATTATATACATATTCTATGTGTATAGAAATGTATGTGCATAGAAATATATTCTGCTTTTACAACCACAAGAAAAATAATTTGTAGTTTAAATGTTTACAGTTTAATGTTTACAGTTTACATATTTCAATATTTAAAATTTACAGTTTAAATGTTTACAGTTTGTAGTTTAAATGTTACAACTGTTAGACTCCTGGTATAATTGATATTTATATTCTCACATCTCAAGGAATAAGTATACAGAAAGGGGTATTAGTTCATTCATATTCTCTTCCTTTAGAATTTATACTTTTGGGCTATGCCCATTTTGTTCAGGATTTGTATTAGAAATTGCCATGTGAATAGAAAAACTTTCCTGCATCTAAAGAAGTCCCTTGTCCTGCACACTTCCCAGCTATTTATAATGTGTCCTTGCTAGAGAGAGTCTGGGGCATAAAATCAGTGAAAAACTGTGAATTTCTTTGAATGTGAATAGACCACATGACAGCAAGGAACAAACATTTCTCCCAGGTGATGGAAAAAAGGAAGCATGCAGAATGTATGTGCTGGGACCCAGCAGGATAAAATAAAAGGTAAACATGTTCCTTTCAGAACACAATTTCTAAACTCTTCTCAGACATGATCAATTCTTTTGCAAGACCAGGAGACAGTGCCCTTAGCTTATATTCTATAATTTTATCCTCCCTCCTTCCTTGTGGGCATGAGAGGGATTTTTACATATCAAAACAAAATTCCAATTTTCTCTCCCACCTCTTTTGTGGCTCAGTCAAGAAAATTACTCTAGAAAAGATTTCACCAAAACCTTTATTAAGGTATGAGCAGCACATCTCTGATTTAAACACTATACCAAGAAACACCAAGTAAACCCTTTTTTTTATTATTTCATATAGCCAACTTTCATACCAAGCTTGTACAGCAAATCCAAATAAACTCTGTTATGGATGCATACCCACAAATGTGGAATTTGTTAACTTAGTTATATTAAATTTGTACATAAAAAACACCAACAAAACAAAACAAAACTACCATTCCCTACCTTTCCCCTGAGCACAAACTTCTGGCCCTGGGGAAAAAAAAAAAAAAAAAAAAAAAAAGAGAAGAAATGTTATTTTCAAAGCTTACAGATTGAGTGACAGTAATGCAAAACTGTAAAAAACCTCAACCAACCCCACACAAACCAGAAACACATGTACCAACCCAGAGATTTAGTTCTCAAACTTACACTGCAAGAAAATCACCAGCAGAGCAAGATACATCTCGTTCCTGAAGAACAGACACTTTAATTCCAAAATAAAACAATATTCATTATCAGAGGTGATGCCTCCAGGTACCAAAACCACGTTATGTTTTTTTCCCTTGTTCTTTTATGGAAACTGATAAAAATTTGCCATTAAAATTCGTATGTTTTCCCAGATCTTCAGCAGAAACTGGCTGCATCAAGTAATCGTTCCCATTACTGGAAACTGGAAATGGCAAACAATGAGAATGTATCTGCTGCTCCCAGGCAGATTACTGGTCAGGAAGTGACTGGACTTTTCCTGAGGGCGCTACCAAGTGCATTTGCTTTGTTTAATTTCTTAAGGTGTATTAAAAAAACAAGAAGTTCCAATGACATTATCCTGCAGTTCCTGTCAATATGGGTATTTTTAAGTCACCATTAACCATTTAGAAACAAAAATTACCTTTGGTACTTGACCTCAGCAGATACTTGAGCAAATATTTCCCTTCATCCTAACAGAGGACTCTTTCAGAGAATAGATGTACATAATTACTCATTTTCCCCTTTTACCTCCATTTCTAGGTCTCCCATTTTTGCTGTGGCAAAGAACGGCTTTACTGGAGGTTACACAATAAATTCAAATTATCTCAAAAAGCAGAGGTACTGTTGTGTGAGACTAGAATAGACAGGTGGATCTCTCATACTACCATCATATATCAAATGGATATGCACCAGATTTTTTTATGCAGCTAGGACTGTACAAAGGATACAATCACAAACCTTAAACCCCTGAGGAAAAGAATTGGATGGAGTTTCAATTCTCAGCAGAAACCTGCAGCAGCACTACACAATTTGAAACAGAGAACACTCTGTTGTCCAGGATATTCCTCTCAGTGTATCAGCCTACTTTTAAGTCAGACTCAAGCCATTCCCTCCAGCCCTGATACTGACAGACGCCTAAAGGCCTGAAAAATGAGTTGAAACCAAGCCCTTCAGAAAGTATTTCTCAAGTTGTGTGACCCAGAACTCCCCAAGCTGTGATTTAGTTTTTCTTGAAAACTGAGTGCTCAACTCTTAATCTCTTTGTTCTTTCCCCTGTGGACAGAGTCAGTACTTTCCTTTAATTCCAGCAACATTTTCCAGGCTTGTTAAAACACTGCATAAAACAATACAAAACACATTCACAGAAGTCCATAAATGAGGACAGACAGTTCTCATAAGCTTCACTGTTCATATGAAATCCCTTTCTTTCCTCCTGGGGTGAATGAAAGCTGTAGTTTTTCCCCCAAACCAGTATTTTAAAGTTGTAAGTCTACTTCAATGATTGTATTACCCACATCAGTGTGGAATTTTACAAAAGGAAACAGAAGGAAAACACTCATCTATTTAACAATGTATGGGCTGCATGAGAGGCCTCTCTGCCCGTTTTACAGAATGGCACAATAGTCACAGCAATTAAGACTAAGCTGTTAACTAGCAATAGTGTTTGTCCTGCTCAGCCCAGCCTGTTTTAAACAACCACCAACAAAAGCCTGGTGGCTTGGCCAGCTGCCAACCATGGTCCCCAGAGACAGGTAAAGGAAAAGAGTAGAACACGTGGCAGGTGGAGAACAAAGGTAGATCAACTTTTGCTATTGGTAACAAAAAAATAGGAAGGAAGGAGATTTTCCTCTTCCCCCTTTCCCCGTAAAAGAATTCAGCAGGACGTAAAAAGCTCAGCAAAATCACACCAGTCTTTCCCACGGGGGGACAAAGGTTCCTCTGAGCCCCGGTGGGGAAAGGAGAGTGAGGTGGGCCAATATCCTTCAGAAAGGGCCAGCAGGACTCAGGTCAGAGCCAGGCTAGTTTCAGGCTCAAGTGGAAAGGCCAGCTTTTAGGATGGAATAGCTCAGGATTAGGGTTTAATAGTGCCAAAACCTGAGGCTGCTGCCAGATGTCACTCCCAAGTGAAGTCCATTTCACAAGGTTCTACAGGCTGATTAAACTGTCATATTCCTGACAAGCCTCAACATTGTCTTGGAGAGGAAAATCAAGCTGTTACTCACCAAAACCCAAGAATTAAGTTCCACTGCAGGAATTTGGGCCAAAATGACATGAAACTTCAGAGAAAAATATTTCAAACACACAGGAACATTTTGAGACAATCTTCCATGCTTAAGCTGGAAATCACATTGGCCTAAAGGATGTCAAATTGAAGTGCCTGTGCCAGTAACACAAAGGCATATTTTCCTAACAGCCATTTTAATGTCATCTCTCAAGATATGTATTTCTGAATTATGTAAGATCAAATTTATTCTAATACACATTATATAAAGAACTCTATTCAATCCCTATTATATCTGTGGGAAAAGCAGGATTGACCTCAGGAATGCAACACACCTTCTGAAGCAGTCAGAATAGCCATTATAACCTGACTGAATGCCCTTTGAAACCCATGGGAATCATCACATTTAATCTACTGCCAATGAATTGGACCCTTACACGCTAAACCTCATCTGGGGATTCACAATCCCTGTTTCTACTGGCTGGATCCTCTGCTACTTGCTCACATGTGACATTTCCTAAGAGCCACCAGCTCTGGCAACTGAACAGAGCTTTGCTGAAATGAGAGGCAAAGTCTATTTCCCTAACTAAAGGAAAAATGCTGAATAAGAGTTTCAAATTTTTCCTTCTGCAAATAGAGTGTTTTCAGCCAGTGCCTTACGACAGGAAAGGGAGCTCGGAGTTCCCAGCACACTGCAGCTGTTTGTTTCCATGCGCTCTCAGCAAAGAGCAGCCGCGGTGCCCACCTCCAGCACGGACACCTCACATCTCACCCATCAATTCCAGCCAAACTCCTGGTCTCAAATGCCCATTTCCTGATGGCAGCTTCACTTCCTTCAGAAAAGATGAAGGCTTTGTGTGTGTTGCCTTCCAGTTCTAACTCACTGACTTATTGATTAAACATTTTTGGGCTCAGAAATCTTGTCACTGATAATGGATACACATAATCTCATGTGTAGGTTTACTGATATTAAATACAGTTGATTTCTACAGAGGTGTATCTACAGACGTTTAGGATTTTTCTAGACTTTAAAAATTTTAAAAATTCAGAAATCAATGTCTATCTACACTGAAATCAACACAAGTTTTCCAGTAACTAAATCAAGAACAGCTCTGATTTCTAATCCCTCAATTCCTGACACACTTAATGGTTTAACTGTTTTGATTTCTTACAGCTGGGAACTGTTGCTTACTTATCAATTCCTGTTTCAGTATACTCACAGATATAAAACTATAGCAACATTGCTGTTTTCACAAGTCTAGACAAATCCCTGGTGAGCTGGGAATGAAACAACTTCTTTCTACCTACATTTTCATGGCATATTGTCTTCTCTTCAAAGTGGGACTTTTGCACCAATTATTTTTGTTTTAAAAGCATCTCTTTATACCTCCCTAGAGAAGAATAAAAATTAATTTTTCTCCATGGATTTGAATATTTACAAGAACATTAAAGAAATTAACATTGCCTTTTTTGAGGAGTCTGGAAGTTCTACAATTTACAATAACTCTGTATTGCCCAGTTTGTCTGGGTATAAATTACATTTCACAATGGCACCATCTGCTGGGAGATGAGCAAGGCAGTGAAGCACACTGGGCTTCCCTCACTGCCCCCTTTCACAATTGAACACAGGATGACTGATAGCCAACACCTCCTCCAAATGGCAACATAAATTACACCTGGAAAGTAAAGGAACCAGAAGGCTGATAATGACAGAATATCACTGAGACTTTCACCCTGGAAGTTATACTTTTAATACAACAGGAGCTAATGATTAATATTTGGTTTTACGCTTCCTTACTGATACACTGAAAAGAGCACTAGAAATCTGTCTTGACTTGTATTTCACACAGCACACACTTCCATGTACCTCAGAAATTCTTTCAAACAAATGAGAGAAATCCCTTCTTCCGGAGATGTGAAATCTATTGATGATTACAACAGAATTATGGTCTGTAGTAACACCTCAAACTTTCTCTGTGCCAGCAGTGTGTGACTGATTCAGCTCCTCCAGGACATTTTTAGATGCTGTCCACTACTGGATGAACAAGTTCCTCAGTTCAGAAACACACATCACACCCTGTCACTGTCACACAGTGCCCTTTACTGGCAATGGACCAGGATTTGCACTTGCTTAACATACAGCATTTCCAGATGCAGCTGGAAAATAGCCTCAAGCTCTACAGCAATAACCATCAGAGTATGAGCAGTGATAGAGGAGAGGTCAGTAACTTCTGGCTGCAGAGGGAATTAATCCTGGAAATATTTCTCCTTCTCTTACCATTATTTTAATATTGCTTGATGATTCCCCAAGCATTATTCCACATCAGTTTAATGAGTAAAATTCAGTTGTAGTGATTCAACAAGCTGATCCAAGTTGACAGAAAATCTTTCAGCAGTCTGTGCAAACCAAGAGGCAGAATTGATTTGCTCCTAATCTGCTGCAGGTGCCCACACACAGCCAGCCATTGCTGCTCCTCATATAACTGATGGATGACTGCACAGACGGGCAGATACTCCTCAGCTACACCTCAGAGTACACCAAGACAGGTTTGAAAAAGGCTGAAAAATAGATATTGTCAGTCCTGGAATATGTATTGTTTTTTAAACAGTTTTTCATTAAATATGTTAAGTATTGTAGGGGAGGAAAAAAAAAAGTTTAACTTCTATCAGAGGTTAGGAACCAGAAAAAACCTTAAAATTACATCTGTGAGTAAGCTGAGTGATTAAGCTAACAGAGCACTCTATCCTGCATTCTTAAAGCAACTCCTGAAAACATTTGTCTGGAACACTTTTCATGCAGTGATGTTTGAATTTATCCCAAGAGAAATGCATTAGTAACCCAAATTTTTGGTGTTTCATCAATTTTTTTTTCTTTTTTTTCCATTGTTGGGAGATGATTCAGAGGACAGACATACCATTTTAAAATATTTCATCTTTGGGGGATTTGGGAGCTGCTAGGTTTATCAAATTGGGTACCCAAAAGTTCCTTTCACCTGCTGACATGCTCTTTGCAATCTGCTATCAATTGAAAAGCATTCACTATGTCAAAGTTCTCATTCATAAACAGAAGAAATTTAAAGTTACCCTAAATATGCATAGAAAAGAGATCCTTTCCTCTTCTTCTCTTACTTGTTCTCCAGAAAAACAATTCTCTCACAATCAAACACCACATACTTGAAATAAACAGCAGATTTTCCCCCACAGCCTTGAGTAGGAGTGTGAAAATCCAGTATTCAGTGACCTGCCTGTATCAGTAAAACCTTTTTGCAGACAAAACAGAAGCCTTAATTCATCACCAGACATAACTGTCAGCCCATGTGATTTCTGGCAAACCTTTTGCAGACATCCACTGCAGCAGATGCTCTTCCAGAATGCAGGACCTCTCAGGATGAGGAACTGGGACTGGGAATAACTACATATAATCCTTCTTATAATTCTGCTGAAACACACAAATTTCCTTGGAAGCCTGTGACAGAAGACAGTGTGATGCCATCACAGCCTTACTACAGAACACTACCACACTATTTTCATCCTCAAGTTCAAGAACTGACCTTGTGAATGAGAGGTTAGTTTGGCTTATTCCCTTCCACCTGCTCGCTTGAGGCAGAATATTGTCACAGCACCAAGTGATACGTATTTCCCTTTCTGAGGTTTTAACTTACTTGTTTTGGCTGGATAACTTCTGTTCTGCAATGCTCTGCTCATTATTCTTTGTCAAATTTATTCAGTTCTCCTTACATGTACAACCACATTAATTCCAGGCAGGGAACTTGCAAATCGAATAAAAAGGGAACTCCAAGCTGACACAGTATCTTACTGCTGCTACAAAATTCTCTGCACACATGCTGAAAAAACCAACATCCTTTTTGTCCAAAGGCAATAGCCAGCTCTGCCTGAAAAACAACCCACATGGAAGCAAACTTCTCACTTCCCAACAGAAACCAGGGGTTTGGACCAGCACTTGTCTTCTCTGAACACTCAGGCTGTGCATACTGAGGGAGCCTGCACACCATTAAAGCTGCTGTACACGAGAGATTCTGATGACACCTAAACTTTTATTTTTTAGAAAGTATGGCCAAATTCACAGCTCTTTTGCTGTGTAACTATTCCCCTTTACCTACACACAAAACTAAGCAGTTTCTCAGAAAAAGCATTGGGTTGCAGGTGAGCACCAGTAGCCAGGGCTCCTGAGGGCTGTTTCTGAAGGTTTCTGACAAAAGCAGCCTCCCACAGCAGCAAAATGCACAAACAGCCCCATCCTCCCCATGCCTGCTGCACTTTCACACGTGCTTCCTGACAGCTGGGGAAAGATGTTCCGCTCTTGCAGTTTGCTGACAGCATTTCCACATCAGAAACACTTCTGAGCGGAGGGTGGAGACTTAAATTTAAAAAGAAAACAAACCCAAACAAGTAAACCTCCACCAAAATTAAAAAAACAAGAAGGAAGGAAGTGTACACAATGTTCTGTAAGGAAATTTTGCAATGCTGCAACAGCCAAGGATTTGGGAGGGATTCTATAAGACCCAGGGAAGGACTGCAGGGCTTTGTTTTGTTGCCTTCAGAAAGTGGTAAGAAAGAAATAAGACAAGGATCACTATTAAGTCATTTTCTGTGTAAGCAGTTGTACAACAGGGTCTGGAGTTCTGCAGAAGGCATTGCCCATGTACAGCTGACATTTACTTCGCCCAGAGTAAAGAACATCTACTTGCCAAGACTGTCATTATGTAGCTTTGTATTACTGATTACTTCATCAAATTAGTCATCAGGTTTGTTTATGCAGTAGTGTTGAACTCAAATTCTTTATGAGATTTGTACCTTCTAGTACAAGCTCTCACTTCCTTACAGCTTACTATTTGAAGCTCAACTGAAATATTTTCTTAACAAGCTGGACTTATTAACACCTTAAAACTTCTATAGATTTGACTTTGTTAGACTGTTTTTTTAAAATTATATTGCTGCTAAAAACCCACCCAGTGCCATGTACTTCCTTAGTCTCAGCTATATTATCACTCGCATCATCTCTAGCAAATGTGTGTCTCTTTGATATGGATCAGTGATCTCATTAATTCCCTTACCAGAAGAGTGCTAGAAAAACTTCTCAAAAGGAGAAAGGTGGGGGTTCATCTCTCCTCCCAAGTAACAAATGATAGAACAAGAGGAATCAGCCTCGAGTTGCACTGGAGGAGGTTTAAATTGGATATCAGGGAAAACTTCACCATGGAAAAGGTTGTCAGACATTGGCACAGATTGCCCTGGGAAGCGGTGGAGTCACCTGGAAGGATTTAAAGACATGCAGACATGGCACTTTGGGACAGGGTTTAGTGGTTGACCTGGCAGTGCTGGGGGAATGGTTGAACTCGATGCTTTTAGAGGCCTTTTCCACCCCCAGTCACTTCCTGGTTTTGTACTGCAGGGCAGGATGGCTTTGCCACACAACTCATGGGGGAAACTGCTGCTCACATCAGCCACATCTCAGGAGAGCTGGACACAACATCTACCTCTGTCCCAAACTGCTGCTCCCCACCCCACTGCTTTCTCTGCCCACTCCTCTGCCTGCCATAGACTAAATGTATGCGGGATATGACAAAATTCTCCACAGAAACATGAGTAAAGATCAGCACTGATCAGCACAGTTTCCATATTTAGAACTTCCTTAAGTCTTAAAGCCACTCCTCCATCTCCTTCAGAACAAAGATCTCTGTCATGTAACTCCACCAGCTCTCTTGCTCAGTATTCAGAAAATGTTTTTTCTTGCAATTCTGCTGTTTTCCTACTGTAAGCCAAGGATATGTTTCTTTCATATTACAAATCTTTCTAAACCAGAACCATTGTTCCTTGTCTGAAAGCTTTTCTTTTTCTTCTCTTAGGTCAAATGTCTCAGCATATACAGAAAACTACTGCAAATGGCAAAGGTAGGTTCTCTTTGGTTGGTTTTGAGGTATGTGCCGAGACTGACTGTTATCCAAAAAAATGGGGGAGGGATTTAAAAATGTCCAAAAATTTAATGCCAAATTAAATATTTAGCCTCTCTGTGAATTGAGTCAGTTTAAAAGTTTCTAAACAAAGATAACTGTCTCTTTGTTGACCTGTATGTAAAGTCAAAATTACTTTAACTTGTTAAAACATTTTTCACCCCCATGGAAATGTCATCATTTATTTTAGTCATGACTAGTTCAGTACCATTTTCTATGGAAAGACAGGTTTTTATTGCAAATTCATTTGTTTAAGTTCATGAAAGCAAACAAATTTGAGAGACCATCAAGGCTCTTAATGCTACTATTCAAATCCAGTCTACTTAAAAAAGCTTAGTTCTGTCTGTTAATAGACAGCCACAAATAAAATACTGCTTTTGCCTTCAGGTTTACATGCTACCTCTCAACTAATATATAAAGTTACTTTATAGACTCCTACAATTAATACTCCACAATATTTCATTTAATCTTTTACACTACTATTATTTTAATTGCTGTAGTTCAAAAGTTGTTGGTTCATCTAAACAGATCTGTGGGCTTTGTGTGGCTGTGCCTCTTTTGCACGAACACACGCACTTTTTAACGTGTGAAGCTGCATTCTGGTTTTGAAAAGTAACTGAGTTGCCTGCTATTAGAGGTGGAAAAAGTATAATGGCATTTCAACACAAATAAGCATAGCTTGGTTGTCAACATATTTTGGGAAAAATCTGGGGTTTTCTTTGGTCCTAGGTACAGTCAACTCAGTTGTTTTTCTTTCCAGAGATGCTGTCCAATCCCAAGCTTGTACTGGTTCAGGGGACGTCGAATGTGGTGATGAAGCAGAATGTGACCCTCTCCTGCCTCTCTGAGCCTGGATCTCCACCTGTGAGATACACCCTGTTCAAGCACAACCAGCAGGTATCTGCTTTAAACAGGTCAGACTTGACCCCTGCACTGTTCACCCTGACCATCAGCTCTGCCAGCGACATGGGGGAATACAAGTGCAAAGCTGAGTATAACAACTCCAGTGGTGGAAAATACAGCAACAGCCTCAAGATCACCCTCATAGGTATGTCTTGCTGTACACCTTCCCAGCACTGGTTATTGCAGGGGCACACAACCACCTCTTTTCTTGACTGAGGAGCTCAACTTTACTGCTATTCTTACCCCAGGAGCTGGCAGCGCTCTCCTGCCAGAGCTCACGACCCCTCCATCCTTTTGCCAGTGTTGTCACTTCAAGTCTTGCCTGGAACTTGTCCTTTACTCTGTGATTCAGACTTTTCAGTTTTCTTTCTACAGAGCCAATTTCCAAACCAGTGCTGAGCTCACCCACGTCTCAGGCAAAGAAAGGCCAGAACGTGACCCTGTCCTGTTTCTCGGAGAACGGATCCCTTCCCATCACATATCTATTCTTCAAAGGAACACAAAACATTTCTCCCCAAAAGACGATGCGGAAGAGGGAAGCAGCTGTGATTTTTCTATTTATCGACTCCCTTAGTGACTTTGGAACCTATAAATGCAAAGCTAATAACAGTTTTCCCAATAATACAAAATACAGCAATGGTTTCAACTTTACATTAGCAGGTATGAATGAAAAGAGGTTACTACTGTTGACAAACTGGGATCACACAAAATTCAGAATGTTGTAACTATGCAAGTTTTTTGCCAGATATTTTGTTCCTGCAATGTGATGTTCAAAGCATATTTTTTTTAAATTAGAAAAAGAAAATGGAGGTTTTAATATTAATGCAAAATCATAGAATTTCATGCATCCTAGATAGCAGCAGAAGTTGAAGTGACCATGAAGGATGTCTGTAAAAGACTCACTTTTACAAGAGACCCCTGGCCCACCTTGGAGAGAGTCTGGTTTCATTTTTCTCTCTGGTCCTATGAAAGAGCTTAACTGGCACCAGCAAGCTGCCTTCCTTCTACTGGACCACAGAGCACTTGGGATTCCAATGAACAGTTACATTAACCCCAGTTAATCTAAAAGCTGAAAGAAATTTCAAGTCTTGATTTAAATTTTCAGAAAATACATAAAATATGAAACAACACTTCATTGCATAAACACTTTTTTTTCCCTTCTTTTTGGCAGAAGAGAGAAGCCATTCTCAGCCCCTGATAATTTCTCTTGGGCTGATCCTGCTACTACTCATAATAGGATTTGCTCTGGCAATTCCATTTTTCGTAATTCCTTTGTATAAAGCAAGTGAGTTATTTGAATGTTTCTTTTTCCAAAGGTAATTTATGTTGTCGATATATTTCAGTGTGTAAATATCACATTTTCAGTAGAGTAGCTCCTGGAATTTTATCATGTTGTTGAATCTCCTCTGAAGTAGCATTGGCAGTTTAACAAGACATTGACAAGGCCAAATCTCTGAGCTGTGTTTTAGATGAAAGATCTGGGGTGGGGGAGGCAAAGCAACAGCTAACATAATACTCAAAAACACTGGAAGGAATTTGACCTCACTGAAAAGAGAAATTATTTAAATGCCCTTTGTTAAAGAATAATTTTGATTGCAAAAATAACATTACTTGAAATCTTCAAATATTAAAAAATACATTGAAAATGTTTATTTCTAGGAAATATTTATATATGTATATATATATATATATATATATATATGGATATATATATATGGATATATACATATACCTGGTTTTCTTTTACAATTTGCAGAAAAATTTAAGTCTACCAGGCCGCCAATTGGCCTTACTTCAACAGTGAATGCAGAGGAGTCTGAAAATGAAGTCATATACTCAGAGATTGGTAAGTTCCTGTCACGCCCCTGCAGTCAGGCTTTTTCAGGTACTGCAAAATCACTGGGACACCCACTGACCCTCCGGGCAGAGGCATTATTTGAAATCCCTCAGAATCAGTATCTGGAATCATTTGACAGCCATGCAGCCAAAACTGCAGCTGGTTAAATGAACTGAGGTTTTAATAAAAAAAGTGTGTAACGGCCATTTACTAACAGAAAATACTGAGCTATATAAAGCTGTAGCAAAATAAAACTTGTATACCTTCTGCATTCTGTTCAAATTTGTTCAGTACTTCAGTTCTTTATTCAATCCTTCTTAAGTGTGGCAAGATTCAAAGTCAGTTCAAACTGAAATTATGAGGTGATGACAAAGCAACCGACCTGTGTTCTTTTAGTACTCGAATTGCAGAAAACATGCAATAATGAAGACATTACCCGACAGCCACAATGCTCTGAATTTGCATGTTTCTACATTTGCCTTGAATGTGAATGCCTCTTTTCAAGGGAATAAGAACCTCCCCAAACAAACCAATAGCAAAGGCAAATGCAAAGGCACTAATGTTTCCCATTTCTAAATATCCAAATAGAGTAAATGCAAATAAACCTGCCTTCCTGTTCATGCAGTAGGTAAGAGTTCTCCCTGCCCTGCTGGTTCAGCTCAGTGCTGTGCAGCTGCTCATGCCTGGTCTCAGCCTGCAAGGACAATGATAAGAGTTCTGATAAGGTCCATGGATGCTCCATGATTTATATTCAGTATGGAATCTCACTGCTATGTTCCAAGATTACAGAAAAAAAAGTCTGATTCAAGTTGTTTTTAATTGAGTTAACTGCTGTTTATCATCTTTAATCCAGAGCCTGTTAAACCAGAAGAATACATCAATTTCTGTGTTATTAGAAGAGAAGAGGAAAAAGGTGAAAACCTCAAGCTATAATATTGGAATATCTGATGCACACAAATATGTTTTGAGGGGGCTTTGCTGGGTGAAGGCAGGGCTTAAATACTTGCAATTGCTTATGAAATTGCTTAGTTACTATGGAAAAACTAAAATAGCTTTGAAACTTATGAGGGGGGAAAAGAAGAAAGTAAAACCCCAACAAACCATTCTATAGCAAATTCAACAGCCTCATTATGAAACCACACAGAAGATGTTATTAGTAACCGCATTGCTGATGTAATGTTAATTCCTCTTCCATGTTTCTGTACCAAAAAGCAATTATGAATTATGTTATTCTGGCTTTCAGCAGGGAAGAGGGCATGTTCTACAGTCTATTCAAAGGTCCTCATCAGAGACTGAGTACCAGGTATAATTTTTTTCTGATTAACTTAATCACATACTTTTAAAGAATTTTTCAGCCCTCAAACATGCTAAGTTCCAGCAGGTGCACACAAAAAGATGATATTTAGATACCAATTTCCTGGCCTAATTGGTTTGTAGACAGGCAGTGTAGCTCATTTTCTAAGCAAAATCTCTATGCCATAATATCTAAGCACTTCAACTTATGAGAAAAAGAAGACAGATAAAACTTAGAATTACAGGTAAAGCTTTCACCCAGATTTAAGTTCCTGAACATTTAACAATTCTGATAAAGTAGAAACTGGATTGATTGCAGGCATAAGATAACCAAAAGGCTTTTGTCCAGCATAACGAAAAAAGAAAAAACATCCCTTTTAAGCACTAGAGGACCTGTATTTGGCCTCTATGTACCTGCAAAGATAGCAATTTCTCAGTTGAACAGTACTTCAGCTCTCAGAGTAGAGAAATATTGCTAAAATTAATTTGGGACAGCTGACTGCAAAATAAATTCTGTATCCTGCTACAGGCAGGAAACAAAGATGTTGCTGGGTTGTTTTAATACCACTCCATAGCCAGATTAGAATTCCATGAGTTTAGTAAGTCACATTATGCTAACCTTGATTACATCTAGCATAAATACTCTATACTGCAATTATTACTGTTACAAATAACTCATTGATAGTTAAGTGAGCACCATGTTAGTAGAATATTTTAAGACAAGTTCTTGTTTTTCATGACACTAATGACTATCAGAGGCCACAGACCTTGCTGCACAAACCTCAAGCCCTTTATACAGGGACTGAACAAGCTATACAAGCACTGGAAATCTAGACAAGATCAGAAACACGCAGTTCTGTATCTCTGCAAACTCTTGTATCTGATTATAATAATTGTGCTTAGGTACAGGAAAAATATGATCACACATTAGTTATTTCCACCATTTTATACACACAGATATTTTGTCCACAAAAAATGTTCTTTAAAAAACATTTCCAATTTATTTAAATCTGTTCCTCTGTTACTCCTTGTAATATATTTCTGGTTTTTTATGTTTATCAAGTGCAAGATGAAGTAGCTTACATGTTTAAGAACTGAAGCCATGTGACTAAAATACATTCCTACAAACAGTACAAAGATACTGATGCTATTAAAATATTTAAGATTTGGAAGTCTTTTATAAAAGATACCATTTTCCAGCAGAGGTCACAATTGTGTCAGCAATACAGAGAAAAGCTGAATTTTTAGCTTAGGATGGAGTACTTTCAGTATGATATTAAAAGCAATGGTTAGCCTTGCTAATAAGGGACAAATTTTTCTCTTCCCTTTTTCCAAGGTAACCTGGAAGACCCAGATTTGACAGAAAACACATGCACCACCAAGTTTTTGCAGTGAAACCACTAAGTCCATGACAACGCTGAAACCAGTTCAGGCAAAGATGTCTAAGAAAATCCTTTTATTCGACAAGTTTAAGTTTACACATTTTTGGCTGATGTAACATACTTAGTTAAAAAGTCCTTCAGCCTGGAAATGTGCATCATTTCCTTCATGGTGGTGTCTCTGCTTCTCAGCTGGACTACTCCATTCTCTAGAGTGCCATCACTTATCAAGACCATGAAGAGAATACTCATCTCATCATACCTGCAGAGAGAAGAATCCACCTGTTACTGCTTTTGGTGCATGGAAAAAATCAGATAACTTACATACAAATGACCATAAACTATAAACATTTAGTTTTGCTGTATTGCAGTAAGTCCAGTGTGACACCTCCAGTTTTCTTGTTGCCATTCTTTGCTTTTCTGATTACATTTCTTTAAATTACTTAGCTACTTTAGTATATAAAAAATAATCTTATTTAGTAACCTATTAAAAGAGTATTTTTGTACAAGCAGAATTTATCTTTCTGACTTTGTTTTACTGCACATGAACAAATAGTTGCATTTCTTTTGTCTCAGAAAAAAATCACTCATAAAGATGTTTTGACACGAGAAGTCATATGCCCCACATTCAATCCTGGTCAACAAACCATACATGAAGCCCCCAAAATGGAATAGTTGTTTTTATACCCACAAACAATTCCATCACATCACTAATGGCAGTGGTTCCAGGCTTGGAAGAACTATCAAGTTCAAGACTAGACACAGTGGGTTGTTTGAAATAGTACATAAGAAAGAAACACAGAACCAGACCAAACACAAAAATGGGGATGAGGATGGGAAACAGTTCTGCAAGCTTATAGTTCATCTGAAGAGATTTGTTTTTTAAATAACAGTTTTTAAAAATCATCTGATATGTGCTTTTCATAATAAAACTACTTCAATCCAAGTCTGTAGTTCAGGATCTCCTTCAGTCAGTTACCACATTCAATTACTTCCTACTGAAAAAAGGTGTATTTGCAGTGATGCCTTAAGTTTTAGCTTTCATATTTTCCTGATTCTGTACTGCATTGGTATGTAACTCTGAACTTCATACTGAGGGTGAGCAAGTTCTCCTCACAGCTCAGTCAGACAAAACAATTCTTTTCCAGCCCAAGAACCAAGGACACTGTTGCAGCTTCAGGCCCAAAAAGTTAAACCAACAAATTGAGGGAAGTAATCTGGGATGATGTGACTTCATTAACTGAAGCTGTAATTTGACAATTAACCCAAATATGGAAATGGACCAAAACTTATAAAAGTATGAAAACTTGTGACCCGGTGTCCATCTTGGGTGGAGCCACGGCTTGTACTGCCCAAGGTAAATCCTTTGAAGGCCTTTTTAAATAAATACCTACTTTATTCCTTTAACACTGTCTAGCCTCTGTTCTAGGTAGCCTCTCTAGGCATCAACAGCAGTCCACAGAAAGTCATCTTTGACCTTCATAGTTTAATTTCCGAAAGACTGTTTCTCCTTACTTTGCATAAAGATTTTCCAGAGACACATGCCCAGTTTCCAGATAACCCGGCCATACAGAAATTCCATTTTCTGTCAGTTCATTGAACAATCCTTGACAAACCTACATTCATTTAAAAACAAAAGTTAGAAGACAGATTTTGAGAGTTTGAGACTCTATACAAAGAAATCATTAAAACTCTTAACAAGTGTGGTATTAACATTCCTAGCTGGTGTTAATTTGGCTGAAATAATCTCAAATCAGAAAACAGCCTGGCAGTTCTATCTCCACTTTTGTTTAAAAACATGCCAGTGTAAGTTTCCCCCCTTCCATGGGAACTTCATGACTGACTTAGATGAAAACTTTTCAAAAATCCTCCTCAACATGTGACTCATGCATTAAGATAATTCTGAAAGATTAAGAAGCTGAGAGGGATGGTGTTATTTATTTTCCTTAATTTTGCAAGGGACAAGCATCAGCTCTATTGTATCAAAAGCAGTTGCGTCCACACAAGGAACTGCCTGCAATGAATTCCTTTGGCTGTGACCCACAAGCTGCAGAGTAGGAGACCATGAACTCTGCACAACCAGGAATCTCCAGGAGTCAAAGCAGCAGCATGATTTTCCTCAACATAAACAGTGTCGGAATTGTAACAGATTACATGGAGAGACAATGCTCAAAATTAAAATATTCTCTTACAACATACCTGCCTCAGCTCAGTTGTTGGACCTTTTCCTACATCCAAGGCCACTTTAAGGGGTGCTAAGCAAGGATGAAGCTTAAGGACCTAATAAATTTACAAAAGCCAACAGATTACTAAATGTGTTTATCATACAATTCTAAACAGAACTAGGAAATTGCAATTTTTTTAAAATTAAATTAAGGTTCTTAACATACAAAAATTTTCTCACAGCATGAAATCCTGAATTAGAAGCTGTGTTTTATATGAGCACACAGCCCATGCATACATTCACATGGCAGAAATTACTCTATTTTGTCTGAACTCCAGAAAAGAGATGAAGATTTGTTAGCAGAGCTCCATCACCTTGAATGGAGCCAGAGTGATGAGACACAGCTCAGCAGGCAGTTCCCATCCAGTCTGCTGCCTGTTCTTAAAGCCAAAACAGCTGCCTGGGTAACAGGCACTGACAGCCAGCACTCAAACTCCAGAAAACAGGGTAAAAGTGGATAAAATGATGGTCCTTGAGGACCCATTACCACCTGTGACCCACTTTTTCTATTCTTCTCAGCCACTTTCAAATGCTGCTAGAAAAGACAAATTACCCCTTCCCACAAACTGCAGCTACATTCCAATTTCTCTTAACTCAATCGCTTGCATGGCAAGAGCCTACCTACTGATCACAGAGAAGGGTAAAACAGGAAAGGGGATCTCCAAATGAGAAAAATTGCTTATGTGGGTGACAGGAACCACAGAGGCTGTGCCATGAGGCCAGCCTCTGTTACCTGTGAGAGGGTTCAGTCTGCATCAGTTGGGAAGGGATCAGGATGGCCACATGGAAAGGAAGACATTACCATTCTTGAATTTACCACATTGTCTGGGGGGTTGTACTTATCTTCTCACATTTTCTACATGAAGGTACCTTTCTCTGTGAATTTTGCTTTGCTGTTAATGGATTCTCAACCAGCTGCAGAGAATCAAAGAGATATGCTAACACTCCTCGGTCCAGATTCCCATTCACAGACAGAACATGAGGGATGACATTCTTCCTTCCATCTCGGCCCTGAAGAGAAAAAACCCATGTAGGAAAACATCTAAGATCATCCCCAAAAGCTTTTTGCTTGCTTTAAATGTATAATGAAACACTGAGCTCAAGCACCCTTATTACAATAAAAGTACAGACATTTATTTAAAACATTTCCAGCAATCTTAGTGGAGTATCTGCAACCAGGTAAGACTATAACAGTGGGGAAAGCAGGTCAGGGCAGGATGGGATTAGTTTCTTGCTCTTCCACTTTGACCATAAACTTAAATCTATGGCAAATACACTTGAAACTCTGCATTTTCTTTTGGACGTTTGTAGATTACTTCCAAGTGACCGGAAGTCCACACATTCTGAGAAATCCCTGGTAACCCAATTTTGTGGAAATAAACTGCAAAAGCAGGAAAGACAGGGCTATCAGGAGAAGGATACAATTTAATGGTAAAATACAAAATTACTCTGGTTTTATCTGTTCAGCCTAACTCCAAACATTGCCATTTATTAGAGGTTTGTCCCTCTTCAATATAATCAGTGGAGAGGTTTCCCTCTGGTCCACCCCCCTTTTTCTATAAAGCCATTTTTATAAGCCATTGATCCACAAAAACTTCTACAACAAGCTACAGCAAGGAAAAAACCCTCACATTTCCACGCTCTTTTTGATGCAAACTGAACAATGCAAAACACAGTCTGAGTTTGTGCTTACATCTACTCACAGATACAGGTAAAGAGTTATGCCACTGACAACAGCTGTCTTGTCAACAGGGGTAATTTCTAATTTTGAAGAAGTCCTTGCAGAAAAAGTACCAAACTCTATTTTATCAGTTTTTGAAAATAAAGATCTGTCTGCAGAGTATCAACTGTACTACTTTTGCAGCAAATGAATAAAAAGCCAGATACATGCTAAGCAACTGGATCAGCAAAGAAACCATTTCTCTCACACATTACCATCTTTATCAGGAAAGATGTTTAATACAGTAAAGCTTACCAGTAATTTTAATTTCTCTCCTGGATACAGCTGTAACAATTCAGTATCACCAAGGTTCTTCAATGTTTCTATAGTTTCTGTTCCCCAAGGGAAGCTGTACTGTAACTTAAATCCTCTTCTGCCTGCTTCATCCTGAAAGTCACTGCTGCTGAAGTTAGACGGGCCTACAGCAAACTGAAAATAAGAGATGTAAGAGGTGATCACTACTACGAATCCCATAGTAACTACAAAACACAAGTCTGCAATGAAAACTGAAGTCTGTCATTTTCAGCAAAAGGTTTTTACAAGTTACAGCTCAAATCTCTTGGTTGTTTTATGGCATTTTCATCTCACATCACTGGCAAACACAAAACATTTGCCTTTCCGCAAGTCACGTATAAACTACTTACAAGGTTTGTCATCAACTTCAGTAGCTTCTCAATTTCCACGAGAAATACACCTATTTGAGTGCCTACAACAGGCCAGCAATGTAAGGCCATAAAACCAACCAGGGTGACTATTCCCCCCATGAGATATAAAGGATCAGGTCAAGATTCCCCATGGATATGCTGTTACCTTTCTCCACCACTGGAGCCTCTGGCGTAGCCAGTAATCGAGCCACTGTCCTGCAGTTCTGGGAGAACTAAACCATGCAAGCAAAGACGTGGTCCTCTCGCCTATTCTTTAAACAACAGCAAGGGCAGCAAGTTAACACCTTGGGAAATAACAGGGGAAAAGCAAGAAACAGCATTCAAAAATAATCCAAAAGTGAGACAGTTGGTTTAGGCATGATAAGGGATTAACTCCTCTATTACTCTACCTTGTAAGTTTTTTGTTGTGTTGTTCATTTTCTGGAACAGAATGTT